GGAAAAGAGAAAGACTCAAAGGTCATACACTTATAGCAGACTCCTATTTTAACATTTTATTTGAAAAAGCTCCACTTAAAAAAAAATGTGTTTGTACAGAGGGAACCTTCACAGCCAACATTATCTATTGTGCTAGAATTCGTAACTTTGGGCTGGCAAAGACTCCAACCAGACCCAAGGATGGGAAGCTCTCTGCCTTTCTCATACTTTCCCAAGTTTCTGTTTTAATCCTGAGTTAATTTCAATAAACTAACCACACACTGGTAACCTCAGACTGACCTAGCGATGTGCAGGAATAGGTGGACCTGATCATGGATTTGTACTTGGGTGTGTATTTGCTTTTGTGTGTAAGGAGGAAAAGAAAAACACCGAGAATGAACGCAGCTGCAGCCTTGGACACAAATTCCGTAAATAGCAAAGTTCTTAAGTTGTCTTTCATGTAATGCACTCGGAATCCTCTCGAGAGCAGCTTGGAATCAGCTTTGTAGCAATGGATATGTGCAGAAGTGAGGCTGTCCAGTCAATGACCTTTTGATGTCACAAGCTCAGAATCCTCAAGCCTCCAAGCAGCACAGGACCTTCCCCTAGATAATTGTGACTCAGAAAGTGGTGTGATGCTCATTTCTGCTTGTACCATACACCACAAGACCCCACTTCTGCACCATCCACCTAAAGAGCAGTTGCCTCCCTCTCCCTTCCTAGCTCCCTGCTACCGCCAAGTGGAGGTAGTTCCAAGAGCCTAGCTCCTTGTTAGTCAACCATGCAACAAAAATTACTTTTTCTTGCAACAACCCAGTACCACAGTGCTGGTCTGTGTGTGACTAGGGCAGCAAATCTGTGTCATAACAGAACTTTCTTGTAAGAATACAAACCCAGAGGGCTGAGAGGTAGCTTACTCAGTGAAGTGCTTGCTTTGTGAGCATGAGGGACTGGATTCCAATCCTTAGCACAGGCATGCATGCCATGAGCAGCAGAGTGTGCCTGTGATCCCAGTGCTATGGGTTAGAGACAGGTCTTTCTGTTTAAGAGTCTTGATCATGTTCTCCACAGGTGAGAGAATTTAAAAGGCAGGGAAATCCCAGACACAATGGGCAACAACAGGTAACAGACTTTATTATAGAAGTAGAAGAATGTGTATGTTGTGTGTACATGCATGTGAACACATGTACTCTCTCACATGCAGACAGGGGGGAGGAGGGAGGGAGAGGGAGACAGAGACAGAGAGAAAAGCACACACAAAGAAGGACTTCCTGCAGAATAGATCCATTTTTCCTCTGGAGGGCTGAAGGCTTTAAGTGGTTTTGGTGGCCAGGGAAATTTTCCTTAATTTTGGGTTGATCAGGTTAAATAAAGAAAAGGAGGCTGATAGGCCCACAGCTTCAGGTAAACATGGTCAGGACTCAGGTTCTGCCTTGAACATATCTGGCCATCCTGGATCAAGTTAGCCAGAGGGGAGCCCTGTTAGCTGGAAAAGCATGCCCAGGCCTTTGTCTCAAGTCAGGAGCATGAGACACAAGCCAGACATCTGCCATCTTTATTGCTAGCCTCCTGCCCCTCTCACTCCCCTACTCCTGCTCCACTATGCTAGTTCACAGATTGTTGTGGTTCTCGTGACTTCACAGACTTTCCTCTTCCTAGACACCAGTTTCTGGAAGGTTCACCCCTGCTCCTGCTATTCTCACCTCTTTCATGATAGCTCTGGCCACAACGAATGACTCCTGTTCTCTGCTCTGGCTGTTCCCAGATGCCTCTGGCTGTTCTCTCTCTCTCTTAACTACAATCAAAACCTTCTTTCTAATCACAGAGTGGCCACTTCCATGGTTTCTTTACTGCTCCCTCGATTACAGCCCTCACATATATGCTCACATGTTCACAAGCACTGATACACATGTGCATACATGTGAACAAATTTACATAAGAATATTAAACCCATAAATATGAATTTTTGGTAAATTTTAACTCTTCTAAAACACATGGTTCAGTAATAGAATATTCATATTGTTCTGAAGCAGTTCCAGAACTGTAACATTTTGCAGAACACAAATACTATACTGGTCTAACAACAATGTCCTCTTGCCTTCCTGTGCTCCTGGCAACCACAGCGTTCTCTGTATTTCTTTAGATACCTTACATAAGAAGAATTATGCAATGCAATGTTTACCTTCTCATGACTGTCTCATTTTACTAGCTGAGCATGCTCAAGCTTCACCCATTTTTAAGATCCCTTCCATTTTAAGGGTGATGCTCTATACTGTACATACAGAACACATTGTGTTGCTTTTACTTCTTAGCTGTTGAAAAACGTACTGCCATGAGAGTGAGTTCATATTGCAGATAGAATTATGGGAAAATTAGAGATTTGGCGTGTGTGTGTGTGTGTGTGTGTGTGTGTGTGTGTGTGTGTGTGTGTGTGTGTCGGTGTGTGTCTGTGTCTGTGTGTGTGTCTGTGTGTTTGATGGGCACGGCACTAAAGTACCCAAGCTGTCTTGAATTTTCTAGGTAGCAGAGAATGACCTTGAACTCCTGAACCACCTCCCAAATGCTGGGATTATAGGTTTTGTGTGACCACATGCAGCAAGCATCCAAAATTTAATTATGCAGTCCCGAGGATGGAACCTAGAGCCTTAGCACTCTACCACGGAGAAATGTAGCCAGCTTTATGGTTCACATTCTCAGTTTACAGTCATTTGTATGACTGACTACAACAGTCTCACTACATACTCCATGTCTCACACTAACAGGTCTCTCTCAGCCCAGTGAATGTGTCAGCAAACTCCATGTCAATTTTCTAGTGGACCAGGGCTAGCACTTTGAGAAGCCTCTGACTCTGTTAGAGATGCTTAAAATCAGAAGGGCTGGCTTTCAGGTATGGAAAGAGATAAGGTTAGCTTCTTGACCTATGCATAGCACCCCTCCCACCCCCGAACTGGCTCTCTCAAGGGCATGCCACACCTCTGCATGCTTTTCTTTCAACTTCTCAACTCATAAAAATGTGTGCCCACAGCTTGGCTTCAAGGTACAAGAGTAGAGGGAGACACAGCAGAAAGAACCAACTGCCCCAGGCGCCACCTAGGGAGCTGTCAGCAACACTGCAGGTCTCTTTCATGCCTTTTCTTTTGTACAGAGAGAACCACGGTATCTACTACTCCTGTCACTTGAGGTTTTCATTGAGTAACACATTTCGGTACTGTTTCTAATGTCATTACATAGAGCTAAATATTTTCCCCACATTCTTTTTAATGATTACATTAAAAATGTCTGCAAATAAAAAATGAGCAATTTTACCTATTATATGTTCACTTGCAATGTCTGCATATTTTCAATAATGTAGACAAATATGCTGTTGCCCACATTTTCAACCTTATTCATGTTTATGATACATAATGAGAAGTAGAATTACTGGGGTAAAGGACACAAACATTTAACACTGACAGATGTTGACCCAAATACTATGCAAAGGTATAACATAGTGTCTTAAGAAAATTTGACAGTTGCTGTTGAGTACACAATTTTGTCTTCCTATTCTTTTCCAGTTACCTAATTCTTAGGTAGAAGATAGTTCCTTAATGTGCTAGGTGTTTTTTGGTTTTCGTTTTTGTTTTTTTTTAATTTTTTTAATTTTTCGAGATCGTGTCTACATGTGTACTGGACGCTTGCAAGTCTTTTCATGTGATACTTTGTAATATACACTTTCCCACTGAGCTCATTTCTACAAATTGCTTCATTCAAGTCATTTGTATGTTATAGAAATAAATCTCTTGTCTGATGTTCCACAAATGTCTCTCCCTGGAGGTTTTCTTCTGGCTCTACTTACTATGTTGCTGCCACATTACAAATTTATACATAAACAAATAAACTTTTAGGCTTTTGCATTATAGGCTTATGGTTGTAATTCCCCATTCCAAATTAATTCTAAAAGATCCACTTGAATTTTATATTCATTATATATATATAAATATATATGAATGTATTTATTTATGCATGGTGTGTGTGTGTGTGTGTGTGTGTGTGTGTGTGTGTGTGTGTGTGTGTGTGTGTAGGTGTGAATACATGCTCAAAGCTGTGTAGGTACATGTGTGTGCAGGTACATTCAGAGGACACAGAACATCTGGTGTCATTCTTCAGGAGCTGCTCACTTTTTTTTTTTTTTTTTTTTTTTTGGACCCAGGGTCTCTTAAAGGACCTGGGACTTGCCAGCACAAACACTTTACTAACCAGCCCCTCATTTCTATATTTTATCCATCTACTATTTTAACATAAGGAGGGAGATGGAGGTAGATTTACTCCCCCCCTCCCCAATGAGCTAGAAGTCTCTGTAATTTTACTAACGGAAGAAACTATCTTTCTTTGTCTGGTAGTAAATGTCATTTTATTGTTATACATGTTGAGTTATACACTAAATTTATTCTCCATTAAGACCTCTTTGCTAAGTATGGAATTCTATAATAACTTTAAAAACTGCTTACCTGTGTGTCAGGGGGTAGGTCAGTGAAGGGGCATTGTATGTACATAAGTACAGGTATCCTCAGAGGCTGGGGTGTTGGATCCCATGAGGCCAAAGCTACAGGCAACTGTAAGCAGCCTGGTGTGGATTTTAGGAACCAGTCCTCAGCATGCAAGTGCACTAATGAACCATGACTCTAGCTCCTCTAGTACATATTTCACTACTAGACCTTTTTAGATAAATTTTCCCTACATAGTTTAGTCTATCCTCAAACTTGACATCTCCCTGCCTTAACTTTCTGAGTTCTAGAATTAAAGACATATGCCACCATACTGGCTTATAATATATTCTTTTATAATTTATTATTTTTAGATATTCTCTAACTTTTTGACATATAAATGACATGTGTGTGTGTGTGTGTGTGAGAGAGAGAGAGAGAGAGAGAGAGAGAGAGAGAGAGAGAGAGGGTCAACTTTCACCTTTTTTTTCCTGGTAGTTTGATTTTCTGTGACTTACATAAGTTACTGTGTTGTGGAGGCTTAGCTCTTTTACTCACCCAGATAGATGTCATGATAGTTCACCTTTTTCCTCAAGCTGAAATCACAGCAACCTATAAAAGAAACAAAGAGGTACTAAACTGAATGAGCTGTGTTGTGACTCAGAACACATCATTTTCAGTCCAACTCCTAATGTTTAATCCAGAAAGTGGATATCAGCAGTCAATAGAAACTTCTCTGGAAGAGGGTATAAATCTGACCTTGGGGAAACCCATTCCCTGGGCAAGCATTTACTAGGCTCTTCCCAAATCTTCCCAAATTCAGAATATTAACAGAGTCCTTCAGGTTTGTCCATCAGTCCTCAGTACACCAATGAGAAAGAGACAAGCAACAGTGAACAGTAGAGAAAGGAGATGTACTCAGAGTGGGGAAAAAAAAGTTGGGAAGGAAAAAAAAAAACACGTTTGTCTTCAGGGTACTGACACGGGGGGGGGGGCAGGGCAGGAGGCATGTGTAGTTAAGCAGTATAGCCTGATTAAGGCAGGGGCATGCCTTTACTGTCTTGGCTCCAGTTTGTCCTGTAAGTTGTCAAAACTTTGTTAAATCTTCGTGGGAGACAAGTTGTCTGGCTTCCCTTTCCTTGCCCCAGCATGAGACTTCTGGGGAAATTTTAAGTCTTTGAAGACCACCATTTCAATAGTGTGGTAGTCAAAGGGAGGAACTCGGGCATCTTCCCTTACCATCCCTTCCTTTGGCCTTGCAACACAACGTCTACAAGGGGTTTGTGTTGGACCTGGATCTTCAAGGATTCCAAGACAAGAAAAATTCAGCTCTCCATGTCCATATCTTATAGGAGGACTTTCTGGGAAGTCTATTTTTATTTACTTAAATCTAGTAGTTGGACAGTGTCCACGTCTGCCTATGAGAGGCTGGGGCAGAAGGGTCACCTGGTCTACAAAAGGACATTATATTTTAACACGACAATAACAAAGCCAGGAGAACTGTGTCTAGTACTGATTTATTTTAACAGGACAAGTTGACATCATAGTGAGGTGGAAAAAAAGGAATAAACAGAAACCCAGGAAGGGGTTCCTCAACTTCCTAAAATAAACCCAGCTGGCTTTGGGCTGATTCCTTGCCTGTACATTTTCCAAGATCCAAGCCTATGCAGCCTGCTCTAAATATCCATCTCTACTCTTTGAGAAAGCCAGGCTAGTCCCAAGTAGGTACAGACATGAAAAAGGCCACTTCCTTGGACCCAAGCAAACATAGTAGACATTACTCAGGCCTGCTGGCCTGGTTCTAGGGTTGATTTAGAAATACAAGCTGCCCCCACCCTTCCTGGTAACAAAGTATTCTAAAAATTCAATGGCAGCCCAAGGACAAGGTTCAACAGGAAATCACATCAAAAGTCTCTGGAAATATTTAGCCCTTGATTTTTCCCATTCTTTGTACCTTACACAGACAGTTCTCTGGTTAGAGTCTGACCCTTTGTCTCTCTCCATAGAGTAGACAGTGGGCATGATATGAGATCCATTCTTGGTGTCACACAGAATAGGAATTTCCATTTTGGTCCTGAATGCAGCAGTGTTCAGAGACGGGAAGTTTCATGAATGATTGGATCAGGTTTGGTCACTCTAACCTCAGCAGTAGGTCAAACCATTGGTGGCTTCATAATTTAATGGGTGGTTGGGAAACGATGGAAACTTAACGGGTTAGATTCCCTTGAGGGAGTAGGTCCTTGACAGCATGCCTTACAGTCCAAAATTTTGCCCCCAGTGCCACCCTCTCCTACTGTTTCTTGGCTGTCATGAGGTGGGCCTCCTCTGCCACTGTTACCAGCATGTCATGCCTCATCTAGGGCGCTAAGTAATGGAGCCAGTTGAGCAGAACTGAACTAAGACCTCTAAAACCATGAGCTAAAAGACATCTTTCCTCCCATTAAATTGTTTCTCTCTTGGGTAATTGTCACACCGGCAAAAAGCTAACACATCTCTTAATGTGAAACTTAGTTTGAGTGAGGATTTCCTCATGTGTAAAACAGAGAGAAGGCTGTTGCTGGAGCTAAAAAAAGGATACTTTATAATGTCAGCCAGCATCTTGTGTTTTTGCTATGTGTCAGATAACAGGAAAAATATTAGAATGTGAGTTCCACAAAGGGCGGATTTGTGTAATATTCATCCACTGGTGCATATGGGGAAAAACTCATTCAATGATTTATTTGAACATAGCCTCAGCATAACCCAGTGGGTTAGGAAGGCATCATTAATAGCAGCATCTCCCCTTTGCCTAGAAAGACATTGGCTATGACAAAATTCCCACCACACAGCTATGGGGTTGATCCTATTGAACCCAGGCATCCAGATTCCAAAAATGAACTGTTAATCCCGGTGCCCTGTAGTCCCTGATCCAACTGATGCGGTGTTTATTGATCAAAATAATCTGGAAATTACTAAGAAGTATTACTGAGCCACCCTTGAAGCTTTTAAAAAGTAAAGGATTACTCCACAGTGGAAGCCAAATGACCTAACTTTAAACACATACTTCCTGAAAGCGATTATAGTGGCTACACAATTTCCTTGTACTTCTCCTGCTCTTCAGTCTACAGATTTCTCAACACAAACAGTTCTGGGAACAGGGTTCTAACTTGCCTTAGAAGTTAAAGGTAGTTTAAAATTACCTTTCTGGGCAGTCTGAAATCTCCCACCTTCAGAAAAACCAGTAACAATTCTTCACAGAAAAACCTTTCAGTTTTTTTTTTTTTTTTTTTTTTTTTTTTTTTTTTTTTTTTTTAATCATGTTTGTGAAGAGTAGAAACTGAAGTTCCTTCCGGGGCAGAAACCTTTCTCTTGAACACATCTCCCAGGGAAGAATTTTGCTCCTTGCTCAATTTATCAGCAGAGGGGCTCGAGGGACCCAGAACTTCCATATATGGTCATTTGCAATCCTGTACCTGGATCCCTCACCTGCTGACTCCAAGCTACCTAGCAGTGATTCATGTCCATGGAAGGACTGCTGTTGCAGTCACAGAATACTGTCTTTTCAGGGAAAACCGAATTTCCCCAACTTTCAGTGTCCAATACCCTAATTCATCTTTCTCCTAGCTCCAAAAAAATAAAAATATTATAAACTTCAGACGAGATGGGAGAAATGAGCTCATAGGAGGAGTGGGGTTAAAGTTCTCAACACACAACTCTGAGCAGAGGCACCGAGGCCCGCCCCTTCCCCAGCTGCTTTTAAATGTTTCCAAGACCTTTAGGAACGAGGGGCCCTGGCATCATGTCTGGATCCCCTGGATGGGGGCTTGGGCCGCCAAGATCTGGAGTCTCGTAACTTCCCCCAGCACCGCCCTTTCGTTCCCGGGTTCAGTCTCCTCCATTCAAACCGAAGGGAAGTGGGCTTGGGGGAGGGAACAGAGCGGGGACCTAACTGTGCTCGCGGACATCGCGGACAAGGCGGGGATCCGCTGCTTCGTGGGCGCAGCAGGACGAGCGTGGGAAACTTACCCTTAGGCGCGAGGGCTGCGAAACCGGGGTAGAAGCTGCGGTAAGGTGTGCGATCCACTGTGGCTCCCTGGCTGGTCTGGACGGCGACCCAGACAGTGACCGCGCCCTTCCTCAGCCCCTCCTCCTGCCGCCACTCACCGACCGCCCAGGCCCTGCCAGCAAGAGGCGCGGGAAGCAGCACTCTGGTCTTGACCCAACACGCCCCCTCATCCCCACCCCCTGCATCCTTTCCTCCGCCTTTTATTATTATTTTTTTTTCCATTTCTTCAGCGTTTGGCTTGTTTTCTAGACATCTTGGATTCAAAGTACCTCACAGGTACTTACTAAGTAACACTTAACTTACCTAGAGGGTACTTCGTGCCAGGCAGCGTTCTAAAACCTGCATAATAGCCATGCTTCAAGGTAGATGCCATTATTGTACTCTAATCCCCATTTTACAAGTAAGGAGGCACAGAGGCAAGGGAGGTCAAGTCATGCAGAAAGAATAGCAGAGCTAGACGTTGAGTGCTGGAGTCTGGAGAGTTCCTGCAGTAAGCCTGTTGACCCCAGGCTGGGGATTAGTGCTTGGGTGGGCGTGGGGCGGTGGTGGGTTGGGTGCTTGGACTATGGTATTTGAAAAGCGTTCGGAATCACAAGTTGAGGATAAAAATTAAAGTCCCACTATGATAGACAGTATTATGTCAACTCGACACAAGCTAGAGACCTCTGTTAGGAAAGAACCTCTATAAAATAGGGTTACTGCAAGCAAGCCTTTCTTAACGAGTGACTGTGGAGGGAGGGCCAGTCCATTGTGGGTAGTGCTACCCCTGGGCTGGTGGCCCTGGATGCTTGTAAAACTGAGCGAATCATGGAGAGCAAGATAGGAATTAGCATTCCTTCATGGAATTTGTGTCAGTCCCTGTCAAGTTTCCTGCCCTCTGGGTTCCTTCCCATCTCCCCTCAGTAATGGAGTGTGCTGTAGAAGTATAAGTTGAAACTCCTAAAGTTGTTTTTGGTCATGGTGCTTTATCCCAGTAATAAAGACCCTAAGACGGTGATTCTCAACATTCCTAAAGCTGTGGTCCTTTAATACTGTTCCTTGTGTTGTGATGACCCCAACCATAAAATTATTTTCATAGCTATTTCATGACTATAATTTTGCTACTGTTATGAATCGTAATGTAAATATCTGTGTTTTCTGATGGCCCTAGGTGACCCCTGTGAAAGGGTCGTTTGATCCCCAAGGGGTTCTGGACCCAAAGGTTGAGAACCTCTGCCCTAAGACATTCACTTACTGCTGGAAAATCTGAGCAGTTGTTTGTGGAAGAAGGCAGAGGGAAAAGCTACCATTTATCAGACATTGAAGACAGTAATTTACATTCATTCTTTTGCTTTCCTTTAAGTAGTTTCTAGTGCACAGCATTTTTTTTATTAGAACTTGAAGAAGAGGGGTCTAGGGAAATGACTCAGGGTAAAAACATTTGTGATACAAGCACAAGGTCCTGAGTTTGAACCCCCAGTACCCACTTAAAGTTTGGCATGACTTTGGGTTTTGGCAAGATTCTGGAAGCTAGCTGGCCAGTCAGCCTAACCATACCTCCTAGTTCTGAGGGAGACTCTGTGCCGAGGAAATAAGGCAGAAAGCAACATTGGAAGACACACTACTCTGGTCTCTGCATGCTCAGATACATACAACAAATACACACACACACACACACACACACACACACACACACACACACACACACGAGCGCGCGCGCGCGCGCGCGCGCGCGTGCATGTGTGACCACTATCAACAACAGCATCACCACCACCACCAACAACAAAACAAAACATAAAGAATGTACAGAAGAGGAAACAAACTTAGAAAAGTTGAGTGGGAAGGTGATTTACCCATGATCCAAGTTAGTGGACATGGTTAGCCCAGATGGAGCCCTGATGTTTCTCTGTCCCTATGCAGGACTGAATCAAGAACCAAACTGAGTATGGAGGGCTACTCTCTCAGCCTAGATACACAGGGGAGGGCCTAGGTCCTGCCTCAAATGATGTGACAGACTTTGATGATCCCCATGGGAGACCTCACTCTCCCTGGGGAGCAGAAGAGAGATGGGATGGGAGGTGGGTGGGGGGCATGGGAGGATGGGAGGGAGAGGGAACTGGGATTGGTATGTAAAATGAGATTGTTTTTAATTTAAATAAAAATTTAAAAAAGGAACCGCACTGGGGCATAGTGATAGCCAATTCCCAAATGTGATCTTATACTAGTTCCAAATATTGGTGTAGTAGTACTATTTAACATCATTTATTAACTCTTGTTTGTGCCTATGTATGCATATATGTGAGTGTGTGTGTGTGTGTGTGTGTGTATGTTTTTGTGTATTCAGTGGCATGTAAGCTCAGATGGTGTGTGTGTGTGTATGCTTGTGTGTGTGATGGCATGTGAGCTCCGATGGTGTATGTGTGTGAGCTCTGATGTGTGTGTGTACATGTTTGTGTGTGTGCAATGGCATTTGAATTCAGATGGTGTGTGTGTATCTGTATGCTTGTGTGTGTATAATGGTATGTGAGCTCAAATGGGGTGTAAGTGTGTGCATGTGTGTGTGCAACAGCATGTGAGCCCAGATGGAGTGTGTATATGTGTGTATGCTTGTGTGTGTGCAATGACCTGTCAGCTCAATGGTAGGCTTAGTGTCAGGTGCCTTTACCACAGGTCCTGTTGTCAGGTTTGAAAACTTAAAACAAATGGACAGGGTCATAATGTTATTAATAACAAGGTTGACTGAATGGAACAGATTGTTGGCAACCATAAAAAGTGCTCCAGTCATATGGAAGATAATTTAGGTGATTCTTATGAAGGTAAATATGCTCTTATTACTTAATCTAGGAATTGCACATGTTGATGTTTGCCCAATATTGTGGGATCTATGTGCTCACTAAAAACTACATATGGATATTCGGGCCAGCTTTATTCATAACTGCTGAAACATGAAGCAACCAAGAGGTCCTTCAGTAGGAGGATGGACAATAAACTGTGGTACAGCATATATTGGAATTTTTCTCGAGGCTAAAAACAGATTGGCAATCAAGCCATGGAGATACCTTGAATATGAATTATGAAGAGAAGAAGCCAATTTGAAAAGGGTGTACACTGTGTGTTTCCTACTCTGTGAGACTCTGGAAAAGACAAAACAATGGAGACAGTGAAAAGATCCGTGGTTGCTAAGAGTTGTGGAGAAGGAAGTGTGAATAGGTGGAGCACACAGGATGATTAATGCAATAAAATCATGCAGTATGACACTCTAATGATGGAGAAATGACATTATGCACCTGCCAGAACACAGGCTATATGGCACCAAGAGTAAACCTTAAGAAAACTATGGATTTTGGGTAAAATATGTTAATGCTAAAGTGAAATATGACAGTTTGGTGGGTATATTGATAATGGGAGGTGTTATGTATGTAGAAACAGGGGGTGCATGGGAAATCTCCATACCTCCACTTATTTCCACCAGGCAAGATATCTAAAACTTGCCTATGATGGTTAACATTGTCAACTTGACAGGACCTAGCAGAACTCTAGAAAAATCTTTGAAGGAATATTTAGGTTAGGTTAATTAAGTGTGAAGATCCACCTTGTGGTGGTTTGAAAGAAAATGGCACCCAAAGGCAGTGGCACTATTAGGAGGTGTGGCCTTGTTGGAGAAAGTATGTCACTGTGGGGTAGGCTTTGAGGTCTCTCTTTTGCTCAAGTTTCCCTTAGTGTGACAATCAACTTCCTGTTGAGTCAAGATGTAGGAGCCGCTCCAGAACCACATCTGCCTGCATGCCACCATGTTCCCCATCTTGATAATAATTGACTGAACCTCTGAAACTGTAAGTGAGCATCTCAATTAAATGTTTTTATGTATAGGAGATGCTGTGGTCTTGGTGTCTCTTCAAAGCAATAAAATACCCTAACTATGACACACCTTAAATGTAGATCAACAGCATCCCATGAGCTGAGGGATGAGACTGAACAAAAAGGAGAAGCGAGGCAAGAACCATTATTCACTTCCTTCTGCTTTGTGACTGCAGATGCAATGGAGCCGGAATAAAGCCTCCCTTCCTTAAGTTACTTCCTGCAGTATTTCCATCACAACAACGAGCAAAGTAACTAATACAGAAAATTGCTACCAAGAGTGGTACTGCTGTGGAGATAAACCTGACGGTGTGGTTCTTAGTTAGACTTTGGGAAATGTTTTGTTGGAGTGATGTGAGAAAGTTTCAAATCCTAGAGTGCTGGGAGGAGAATTTACTGGACCACTATGATGGGAACTCAGAAAACAAAAAAAGGAGAAATGTGGACAGTGGAGTGCTGCTCATGAGGCTTCAGAGGGGACCTAGAACTCTATAAGGTACTGGGCTGGGGAAATTCATGTGACATTCAGGCAAAGAACTTGGCTGCATTTGGCCTGGACTGTCTCCTAAGAACTTGAGCAAGGCTACATTAATAATGGGCTAACTTGTTTGGTGGGAGAAGTTTCAGGCAGGTTAACATTCAGCTGTGTAATGTTTACTGTACACTCTGCTCATCCAAGTCTACAATGAGGGAGAGTCTAAACACATACTGTACCACTGTGCCAGGCTTTGACATAATTTTTCAATAACTGCTGTGTCTAACAACTATGACATCCCTGAAAACTTAGGTATTGATTTCATATATTTCCAATACAGACTCTAAACCCTGCCTCTGGAGGCATAATGGCATAAGGAAGTATTTCCCCCAGGACAAGTAAACAAAGGCCAATGGATAAGGTTGTCAGTTTCTACCTTGACTTGGCAGCAGAATTTGTCAGTGTTACCCATGTGGTACTGTTTTTGCTGGCATGAAATATGCAAGGCTGAGAGGGTCATACAAGTCTTGAACCATGATTCTAGGGAGCTCCTGAGGTCAGGCAATGTGTGATGATCCCAGAGTCCCTGCAACAAGTCCTGAGACGGCGTTGTGTGAAGCTGCATAGTTGAAGCCTAGGTTGCTGTTGATGCTAGAATCAGGGCACATCCACCAAGGAAAGCTCGGAAACAGAATACAGCTGACCCAAGAGAAAAACAAAGTGTGCTACATACAGGTAGCATAGCTGGAGAGGTGGCACTACTTAGGTCCTTTGGAACCATCATGAGCCTCAAATGTCAGACATGGACTTGTAGGATTTGTTCAGTATTTTTCATGCTTGGTTTCTCTCTTGCTTTAATTCTTCCTTGATATAATCCTATTCCTCCCTTTTGGATTGAGAATATTAATTCTGTGATATTGTGTGTTGTAAGTATATAAAACCGATGGCTAAGTTTTCAGGGATGTCACAGTTAGTTGCTAAACACAGCAGTTATTAAAAAAATAAATGAAGTTGAAGCCTGACACTGTGGTATGTGTTTGTAATCTCATATACTAGGGAGGCTAAGGAAGGAGGATGGTTTGAACCTAAAAGTTTGAGACCAACCTGAGCTACACAGGAAAATCCCATTTCAAAAATAGAAGATTGATGGTTACTTTTCTCCTCTGCGGGCATGCACAGTACCTCCCAGCACCATAAAAGGTAGCCATTAGGTCAGGAATATGTGATGAGGCTTCCATATCAGCACCAACATGATTTTCCATGTTCTGTGATTCATTCTTGTGGCAATAGGGTTTTACTATTAAGTTCTGGTGGGTAACTAGGCAAATACCCTGTAATATTTGGGACCCCAATGGCCAACAATTTCAAAAGAGGTAACCTATTTCTGCCACTGAGATTTTTATTTGTTGGTCTGTAGTGTCTAATAGGGACACGGTCTTCTTATTGGGTAACTGCATTTAAACACTTTACACATGCATGCATTTGTATTCCAGGAAGCTTCTGCTGTAATAGCTTTTTTTGTGGTGGCAGTGCAGCAGTAGCTGCAAGCACAATTAGTAATATTTTTCCATATGACTTTTTAAATAAGGTTTTTAATGTTAGCTATTCCCCTTCATATCAATCTGTGAACCCTGTGAGCTACAATAAAAACCAGCCTGACAAGATACTCCCACTAGTGTAACAGTGGTGTGAATGCTTGAGAGTAACCAACCACTTTTAAAAAATTGCATTTGAGACCTGCTCCACAAGATGAAAGCCATGTTATCAGAACCCAAACTGTGTGGTTAGACAGGTCATAGATCTTAGAAGGGAACCTAGTATTCTGTCTGCCAAAAAGACACAGTATTAAACCAATTTCTAATGGTTTATTGTTATACCCATCTTAGTTAGTTTTATATTTCTGTGATAAGACACTATGACCAAAGTAACTCACAGAAGCGCTTATTTGGGACTTAAAGTTTCAGCAGTTAGAGCATAGCTCCATTATGGTGGGAGCATGAAAGCAGGCAGCAGACATGGTGCTAGCTAGAACAGTAGCTGAGAGCTCACATCTTGAGTCACAACTGTGATGCAGAGAGAGAGAGATACTGAGAGTCTTTTGAAATCTCAAAGCCTTCTCCCAGTGGCACACCTCCTCCATCAAAGTCATACCACTTAATCCTTCTGAAACAGTTCCATCATCTGGGGACCAAGTATTCAAACACAGGAGTCTAGGTGGGCCATCCTCAAGCCATCACATACTCATAGACTAGAGTATTTCCCAACCTCATTAGAGAAACTTCTTTTGGCAGTGGATTCTGATCAACACAAAGACTCAACTGGTAAACATGCAGAGAATAAGTGGTAGTGAAGTGCTCAGCCCTAAGTGGGGGATCTGTATCATACCCTCTCCCCCCAAGACTCGGGGATCATTACAGAAGAGGAGACAAAAGAGTGTAAAAACCAGAGGTGGTCAGTGGGAACAAGAAAAGTGTTTTCTGGACACAGCAAGGCAGTTGTACATATGACAGCCATGACAGCAGGCACAAGACCTGTGTAAGCTCAAACAAGACAAAATTCCAGCATAGAGAGGAAAGTTAGGCAAGAGTTTCACTTCTGACTGAGGAGCTATTGGTAACTGATAGCTGCTAGGAAAAGTTGACCATGGCAACTCTTATAAAGGAAATATCTAAATGGGGCTGGCTTACAGTTCAGAGGTTTAGTCCATTATCATCCTGGCAGGAAGCATGGCAGCATGCAGGCAGACACAGTAAGGTAGCTGAGAGTTCTACATTTGATCCACAGGCAACAGGAAGTGAACTGTCACACTGGGTGTGGCATATATGAAACCTCAAAGCCTGCCTCCACAATGACACACTTCCTCCAACAAGTGCACACCTCTTAATGGCGCACTCCCTATGGGCCAAGCATTCAAACACATGTGTCTATTGCGGCTATGCCTATTCAAACCTCCACAGAAAGGGAGTGAGTTTTTTTTAAAGATTGTGGCCCCATACTCCATTGGATGGCCACACATTTGAGAGTATATAAGCAGAACAAACTAGACTTGATGGGTATAAAACAACAAAAACAGCACATGGAGGTAATGGATATATATATATATATATACATATATATATATATATATATATATAGGTGTTGGGACTGCAGCACTTGCCTGTGCATAGGGGAGGTCTTGGTTCAATCCCCAGCCCTGGAAATAAGGTATTCAAAAGAAATCGCTTGCTAGTGTTACTGGGCTCTTGAGGTTACTTATGCTTCTTGCTGTCATGTGGTGAAAATACGGGATGAAATTGTGCTTTGATTCTTTTCTTTCCAACTCTGCAGTAGAGAAATGATGATGGTAGGTTGGAGTATGTACTAACAAAAGCCTATAAATGCTGCATGCAAGACTTCCAGTGGCTCCATGAGCCACTTGTTAAACATTAATTGGAATGGCAGATTTCAAATAGATACTTGGTTTGAGCCCAAGTGTTTAGGCTTTATACTGAAATAAAAACAAACTATAGCTGAGTATCACAGGGTTTAAAGACTACATGAGTTCAAGTAGAAGAGACGTGGTATACCCAGAGAGTTTGAATGCAAGAGCTTAATACAGAGTGTTTACAGAAGTATGGGTGATGTTACCATGTTCTACCAGCATCATCAAGTTCCCAAGAACTAGCAGGAGCATGAAATCACTGCTGTCTCCATCTGGGCAAGGGAGGGAAGAGATTATTTGGAACTTGAAAGAAAAGGAACTGTGGAAGAGAGACTGTCCAACAGGGCCTGTGGCCAAGAAGGAAATCACAAGGCAGGAGGGAATAGCAAGAGTGCCTGGCCACTTGAAGCTTCTTTCATTTCAGTTGCTCCACATGGCCAGTGGCAGCTGAAGAGGCCAGAACACTGGCTGCCTGTCAGTTTCTTGGAGCTATTGCTCCCAAGCATTGCTTCATTTTTGAGATAGTTCTGAGTGGTATGTTTGAGGGACTATCTTGGACCTGGTTTTGTACAACTTTTGGAAATTGTCCCAGAGGCTGGATGCTAATAAACTTTTATCACTTGTTGACTAGTTCTGGAACCTGATAGCATTAAACCAAAACAGACTTAAGGGTGAAATTTCTGCCCGCTTTTAAAGGAAGGCTTGCAGCATGTCTCTGTCCTATTAATTGACTGATGGGGTTCTTTCAGCACACACATCCAATCTGGGTGATGGGAACCTGAGGCAACTCTTCTTGTTAAAGTTTTAAAACTTCTGGTGTTCACTTGGACTTTTCAAAGAAAATTATCTAGAGCACCTGCCTCAGAGTTGTTATGGGGTTAAGGTAGAAATCATATGGGCTCACAGTACTTGGTTGCCTTCCAGACATACTCAACACATCATTTGACATTGTCCCTAGACTGTGACTGGGCTATTAACTCAAGGCCTCATTCTGATTGGCTTGTGTAAGAGCTCTATCCAGCTCATTTGGGGTATCCTGATTGATTCTAAGTGGAGACATACAAAACTATATTGTGGGCTTCTCATGACCTATAAAACCCTCAATGTCATGTGGCTGAACACAGTAACATATTCTAGATATTATTTCCTTCCTCATTTTTCAATTTAAAAATCTTATGAACCATTTTAAATTTTGAATGTAAATGAATATTCTGCCACTCAAAATTGCTAAATTTTATGGCAATGAAATTTCAGGTCTCAGAAGCATTTTTGTAGCCAATCATAAAAGTTTAGAAACTGGCTTTTGGAACTGCTCCCTCATGTGCTCTAGACATACGCACCCTAGAACTGAGACTGCTGCTAGGCAAAGGGTGACAATGGGACACTATGAGGATATGAATATCATTAGGCCCCAGTGTCATTGAGAACTTAGGGGCTTGGATATGGCATCCCTTCCCCAGGCTTTATGAAGGCATGCTGAGTTTTCAGGTCTTGCTGAGTTTGCAAATGTGCCAACAGAGCCATGCTGGTCGCTGTCCTTGGCAGTTTTTCATATTATCCAAGGGTAAAAACACACAAATGCACAAGGCTTGCAGAATGCCAAAATTGCTTTGGCTCATTTCCATTCTGTCTCTGCCATTGTGTCTTTCACAAGCCAGTAAACTCTTGTTTGGAGATCTGATCACCTCCTGGGTGTTGGGGACACTCAGCAAGCCTTTGCTTGTGCAACAAAAAGGACACAGCCATCCTCACACTATACCAGAGATCTTGAGAAGGCCCGGTGACAACATTCATCCTACTGTGTTCACATGGAAATTAAATTATTTCTCTTTGTTCTGATTATACAAGCAAAGCTAGATCTAAGAATATGAATTTCTTCAGCATCTTGCTCTTAGCATGGTTAATATGTTTCAGATTCAATACTAGTATAGTTTTGCTCTTGGAAAAAACAGCCTCGAGTTGTAGAACATTGCACCAGCTCTGTGCAATGTCTATACTAATGAGATGAATAATGGAAAAAGAACAAACTAAAGCAAACAAAAGACAATCAGGCTGCCATTTATTATTGATAAAAATTTATATAGTGGCATATGCTATTGGAGAAATCAGAAATTCATAACACACAAATTCATACTGGAAATACAAAAAAAATCATTTGAGGGTCAAGAACTCAGGTTGACAGCACCACAGATGTTTTCCTCAGTCTGAGTAGGTGAGAAATAACCAGGGTTAACAAATACCTACGGGAGACTGAGAGCGATTATTGTTAAGACTGTGCAAATGCTTTCCCACACAATTTCCTATCCAACAATAGGAACCTGCAGGAGCTTTCAGAAGACCCTGGTACAATAAAGGGGCAGGCAAGGCAGAAAAATGGTGCAGACAATTATTTCTTTTGACCTTCACAGCCAGCATCTGACAGCAAGGAGCAACCCTGCTGAGAGGCTTCTGTTCCTGCCCACCTGAAGGTATGGTATAAAAGGTTAGTAAAGCACACACAAGGCATTAGTGAATAAGTAAGAAACACTGAAAGCGGAGCTTTCACTGAAATAGAATCCACATGAGTCATCTACCATCAATCCAAAGATGAAATAGAAAACATAAATGAAATGAACAAGTCAACATCAGTCAGGCAAATCTCAGCCTCACACCTCTTAACACTCCCTGCCTAAGAAGTGGGCATCCACTAGAGAAGTGCTGGCTTCTAATGAAGAGTCTGGAGTGGCGAGGCAGGGGGCAGGGCCATCTCAGGGTTTTCCCTTCACAGAGTTCCCCATGTGTCTGTCACTCCCCACCTGGTACATGAAGGCTTCTGGGTTGGGTCACCCTTCCCACATCCAGCTTTCTGCCACCTCCTCACCCATCTGTCCGTGTCCCACTGGGTGTGTGTGAGCAGCACATGGGAGTCCATGGGGATTTGCTGCTCTAATGTGTGGACATCCCATCAGGCACCGGGAGGTGTGACCAGTAATGGGCCAAGTAGGAATGGGAGACTGCTCTACAGATGATTGGCTCCTGTCGTTTCTCTAGCCCTCTGGGTTGTCCTGGAGATTGAATGCTTGGCTCATCAGCTTTGCCACATGAGATGGGTATCAATTCCAGATTCTTGAGGCTATTCCACAATTTCTGCCCTGAATTATGCAAGCTGATCTACAGCAGCACCCAAGAAGCCAGGAATTTTCTGGGCTCAATCCAACACACCCTCTCCTGAACACACTGCACCAACATGAAACCGGCTCTCCCCCAAATCTGTTCTAGATGCCAATACACAGCTCATGCATTATTGCAATCTTTTCTAATCCTGCCTCCTCAGGACCACCACCAGTCATGCCCACCTAAAAGTGTGCTTTTCCCCCCTCCCAGTTGGAGGGCTATTTCACAAGCCAAGTACAACAGAGAGCACTTCTACATGCCCTGTAATCTCTTCTTCCTAAATCTCCTCGCTATCAGTCACTCATCACACCACTGTCCGTTCATTTGTTCACCCAACAAACATGTGTGGCATGCTGGCAATGTGCAAGGCACTGCTGAAGAATGAGGAGGTGTGGCTCACACAGGCTCTGTGCTCAAGCGTGGGGTCTGCAGAGTAGCCTGTAAATTTTCCATGGCTCATTCTTTCTAGATTTTAGTAGGAGTCTGGAATGTTCTCAAAGAGTTTGGGTCATCTCCATACATACACTCCACAACGAGGATGCTATGCTATTTGCTCAGTGATAGGATGTGCCATGCACTGTAACAGCACTCACTTCCGGCTAACAGAATTAATTGTGCCTCTGGTTAAAAACACAATGTGCACGCCTAATGTTTTGCTGATAAGGTAGAAATGAAAAGGAAACAAAGGCAAGTTGTGTGCACACTACACACAGAATATTCAACTTGGTATTTGAACACTATGCTATGTCAAAGCCACATACTTGCGGCCTTGTCATGTACTGATATGGGGAAATTAAGTGCCTGAGCTACCAGAAAAGAACCCCCAGAGAGAAGTCCCCGAACTATTGTGTCAGGGATAGTGCCTCCATCTGATGTGTGACACACAGCAAACAGGTCCCATGTGTATCTGGTTTCACTCCAACCTCTAGTAAATTTGCTTACTCAAAGGATTCACTTACTTTCCAGAAGCACTAACAAAATTGGAAACCCAAAGCCCAGGGGCTCCCCTTGCATTGCTGCCCCGCAGAAGGCCCGGGGAAGTGGGAAGTGTGGTTGATTTTAAAAAGGATCTCTGGCATGCAAGGTCTATGGAACTTTGCAGCATTCTTCATGGCCCTGGCTTGAGCCCTCCCTGCTTTTAAATCACATACAGACATGTGCTCCAGTCTAAAGCATGCTGAGGTCCCCATTCAAAACACTCTCTAGAAAAGCCAAGCGTATCTAGAGGCCAGGGTGCGCAGGACATCAAGTGGAAACAAATGTCTGAGTTGTGCCGATTAGAATTTTTAGTGGAATCTGAGTCAGCAGCCTGTATTCTGCTGCTAGAAGTCCAGAACAGCCCACACAGTAGAAAGCTGGGGGCGAAGGAGGAAACCAAAGGCTCTGTACTCTCAGATATCTGCTACCCACTGTGCCCAGCTCTTTTGGATCTATCAGCAAAGCTAATTGTGCAGTGTATGTCCTAATTCTAAAGCACTTCTGTGGTCAGCCTTACAGAGTCACTCTGCACAGCCACTGGGACTGTTATGGGGACCTGTAGGAATAGCTCGACTCTGCCACTCTGGGGGGGTCTCAGTGGTTCTATTTCATGAGGTAGCTCAGTTGTGAGTTTTATGCATGCGATGTGTGCTGTCCACCACTCAAAGCTAGTTTTCCCTTTGTTTTAAATCTGAAAGATTATAAAAATACCAGTATTTCTCCCTGTTTTATAAAAATGAGTTTAGAAAAAAAAATACACATGTGTCTTCTCGTTAAACTTCTGTTCCATCTTGTAAATTGTTGTGGACTCTGACTTCCAGATTCATCCTTTTAACTTTAGCACCTTTGAATGTGTAAGAGCCCTCACTGTCACTCAGTATGTTGACATTGCGCACAGTGCAGTACTGTCTGTTGACATTCTTCTCTACCTTGTCTGCATTTCTCTTGGCTACATCCACCTTGGTATTCAAGGGGTATTCCTCCAGAGTGTCCTCTGGGGGCTGTTTCTTCTTCTGCTTCTGGCATTTTCTGGTGATGAAACAGGCCACCAGAAACAGCAGAAGGAGAAGCATAATAGCAGCCAGGGCACTGCCAATAGATGCTCCAGTTTGAGACAGGGAAGCGGCTACAATGGGCTCCTGCATCTCCAGGTTCAGGGACTTCATGTTGGTGCCATTCTTGACTTGGTCTCCTTCATTGTCATAGATGAGGGAGTCATCAAGAGACAACCAGCCACGGGGGTCCACCAGGTCCCTTTGGTGGCGTCTCAGAGAGGCTATGAGAGAGCGCTGGACCCGGGGCCTCGAGATGCTGTCGGGGCCAATGACATAGATCACCTGGAGATACCACTGGTGCCCTGCTTCCACCTGAAGGAGGAGAGAGGAAGGGGGATGAGACTTGTGTTATCTAAGAACATTTCAGAAGAAAGGACATGAAAGACACTTGCTACCACAGGACCAGTCAGGGAAATGGTCTCAATTAAATACTGGCAATAGATGCTCTATGTTCCAAGACACAGGGAACTGAATCAAGCATTAGGGATTCTGTTTTATTCCATATTAGAGTGTTCTTTTCAATTTCCCTACTTAATGTGGAATAGCCTAAGAATTTATTTGTCGCGGTCTGTTTAGCTAAATGAATGCTTTGAGTTATTGGTCTTTATTAATAACAGCGAAATAATACTGTCAACTACCCCGTTTATTCTCTGTGCCCTTTAATTGCTTCCTATGCTAACTTACTATTTACTGATGAACTTCAGTTAAAATGGAATCAGTCAACAAATTTTCACTAAACAATCCTAAGCGTAATATACAGATTCATGACAAAAATTTGCTGAACTCAAACACTTCTGGGTCACCCCCCCAGAGGAGGGCTATTTAGTACTTTATTGTCTCCTTGTCTGCTTGCCTGGGGACACTTCATGGCTTTGAAATAGCTTCAAAAGAGCAGTGACAGGCCTGAATCCCAAGGTCATGGATAAACACTTGGAGACAGAATAAAAAGTGCCAAATTTGATCTTGGAAGGTCATGTTTGCTGCTAAAACTCAGGGTATTTTGTTTCCTATCTGACACTAGCCATTTGTGCCTCTAACTTGGATGTTATGACTTTGCTCAGTGTTTTCCAAATGCCTGTGAAATCAGCTGGTTCAGCCGACCGCCCCAAAGCTAGAAATCTAAACTAACTCAGGAAAAGTCAGAGCCGCCCATATACTGGTGGACAATGACAGATGCTCTGATGCAAACCAGAGACTTTTATCCTTGCTTTGGTCTGCTGGGGACAGGGAAAACTTGGGAGTGAATGATAGGTTTAATAACAACAAAGAAGGCCTTGCGGCAAGGAGGTTAACAAAAGAAAGTGACAGTCACCTTATAGAGGGCGTCTACTTTGAGGGTGAATCCATCCACACCTGGCATGCTACTGACCACATGGAAGTCAGGCAACTCAGAAGCGAAGTGGGCCTCGAAAGGCACATCGTGGAAGTACTTGTCGGTGACCTCTGGCTGGCTGCGGTCCTAGAATTAGTTAAGGGGAGGAAGAGACACTGCATGGGAAAGGCAGTACTGAGGAAGGGAAGATGTTCAGCCGTGCTTCCGTGGGTTGGCTGAGGAGAGTGTACTGTGGAAGGTTTTCCCCCAAGTCAGTGCTGCCTCTGGACACCACTGAGGGGGGATTCTGGTAGGCTCTATTTACCTCTGTCTCACAGGCCATGTGTGGCCAATGACAGCCATGAATATTGATCAACACAAAATTACAAACTTATTTTTTGTTTTGTTGCTTTAGTCATCTTTGAGGCCACTGACAAGAGTATTGTACATGAATTTATTTTGCCTGTCCAAAGGCTGGACATGCCCAGCAGACCGTCAGTTGTCAAACTACTCTGTCTTAGGACCCTTTCCATAGTTTTTAACCAAAGACCTCAAAGAACTTTTATTTATGTGATTTCTTCTGTCAATGTTTACTATATTAAAAATTAAACCTGAACAAATAAAGAAAATACTCCTGTATTAATTCATTCTAAATTTACAATGAAAAGTTCATTATACTCTAGCCCAAGTAATTTTTTTTAGTGATAAGCCAAAATTTATGTTCATCCTCCAAAGAGACCCCATTTTGTGAGATTCCTAACTGCTTTTGTATTTAGTCAGCAGTGATATATTATCTTAACTGGTATATGAAGAAAATGTAGCTTCAAACACAGCTATAAGCAGGAAAAAGGAGGTAATTTTTCAGGTAATTGAGGGAGATATGTAGATAGACAAATAGAGAGATGAGTTGTGTGTGGTATGGAGATGTTTGTTTGGGGGTGTGTACTTGTGTGTGGATGCCTGACATTGACATTGGATGTGTTCCTCAATCACTTCCTCACCTTATTTTTGAGATGGGTTTTGTACTGAAATTGGAACTCATTGACTGGTTAGATGAACTGGCCAGTGAGCTACAGGGATACTCCTGTCTCTGTCTTCCCTGTGCTGGGATTATAGGTGACTACTCCTTAGGTTGGCTCTGAGGATCAAACTCAGGATCTCATTCTTGCATGGCAAGCACTTTACTGACTGAGCCATACTTCATCCTCTGGATAGTCTTCAAATTCTGCGAGCACGCGCGTGTGTGTGTGTGTGTGTGTGTGTGTGTGTGTGTGTGTGTGTGTGTGTGTGTGTGTGGTGTAGGTATGCATGTACACATCCATGCAAGTGCTTGAGGAGAGGATATATGCCAGAAGAGGGCATCAGATCCCCTGGGGTTGTGAGCTTCCTGATGTGAGTTCTGGGACCCAAACCGGGTTCTCTCTGAAAGAACGGTACATGCTCTTGACCACTGAACCATCTCTCCAGGCCCAAGTACAACACAGACTCTGAAATCATATTAATAACCTCTCTGGTGGGGATGTGAGTGTGCAAAGGTGGCACCATTGTAGTTCTAGGAGAGCCAAGACCATTGGCTCACTACCTGCTCCTTGGCATTAGAACTGATGGAGAGCCTACCAGCAGCAGGAATCTGTGCTTCAGGTGTTTGTTTGGTTGGATGCATCCGTACTGTGGCCCCTCATTGTAGATTGTCCCAGTAGGATCAAAGAAAGGCACGTAGCCATCCTTGCCAGTACAAAGATAGACTTTCTCCAGCTGCAGTTTGTAAGCAGAATGAAGGTTCTGTTCCGGATTCCAAAGGACTCGGCCGTAAAGGATCTGCCCTGGGAAGATTGAAAGACAGCAACTAGACTGGACTCCAAGGATAAGAGAAAAAAGCATCAAGAGCAGAGAGAATATGACATACTTCCTCAGAGTCAAAAGTGCCTTTCCCATGAAGAGCTCTGATTCCAAGTGTCCCGGAAATACACATTTACCATTTATCTCTCCTCTAATTCATTAATATTACTGAAGCATTTCTGATATGCCAACTGCTCATGGTGCACAAGGGATACAGAGGTAAGTGAGATGCAAATGAGAGGGCAGAAATGAGAGCAAAGAGATTAATAACATTTATTGATAACATTTATCAAGTTTAGCATTTGCTAAATACTGCACTCAATTTTCCTTATGCAGTAAAACCCATGGGGTACTGATAGTCTTCTAGCTGAGGGAGCTGAGGCACAGAGTGGCTACGTGAGTTGCTGAAAGTCATCAGGATTGCAGGTAGTGAAGGTAGGATTCAGAGTGATGCAGAGCAAGGCTCCTTTGGCTTGACCACCCACTCTAATAGCAATGTACAATGCCGTACATCACCTCTACAACAGATGGGAATACTTTATGGCAAACGAGTGTGGGGCTAGCCAGGCTAGAGTCTGCCTTGGCTTAAGGAGAGATGATCTTTGAGCTGTCTCCTAAAACATGAACAAGAATTCATCAGACTATTTTGGGGAAGGAGACAGGACAGAATATTTTAGGCAAAACAAAGTCCATGTAAAAATACCAAAGACTGGGCTGACAGGAATCCTAGTGTGGGAACGCTTTTTTTGATCAGCATATGAGATGGCCTCAAGTTCTGTATGCCATCTTATTTAATTCTTCCAAGAGTCTGAAAGATAGGCTCAGTTATTGTTCCCTTAGCAACCTATCCTAGGGAGGTCCACAGCACTGAAAGTGTAACTGTGAGGCAATGGGAGTGCTACTGCAACCCCTCCAGGGAATTCAGAGCTGAGACAACTTACCCAAGTTAGACATCATGTTAGAATTGAACTGGAAATGATCTCTTTCTACCCAGACCAGTGCTTTCCCATGGTGCTACAATGCCAATCACGAGAGCACCAAGACTACGATGTACTTTATAAATTGAGGGACAATTGCAAATCTTCCCTACTTCTATCTTGGCTGCTCTGGAATGGAAGCCTGGGAGATGTTCCCCCACAGAGCTCCCTGATTGAGACATGGGCAGATATGCACCCAGCCCAGGGGCTCGTCCAGAAGAGTCTCCTTTCCAGGCAGAGCCACTGACTGCAGCTTGAGGCAGTAACTCACCTTTGGAAAAGGCTCCTTTGTAATCCATTTCTGCCAGTGACATATCAGACGTGTTGGGATCCATCAAGAATACCTTCTCATTATTGCAGAGCTGAAATTCGGTATTGAGCGAATACACAACTGGCACGGGACGGTTGGTCTGCTGGAATGCAATGGGTATCAGGAACCTAGATGTGGGAGACATGAGAACTACTGGAGGGCAGGGTCTACTTTGCATGGGCATGTGAGCTGTCTTCTTTGCCTGTCCCTTCTTGACAGTGCGGGTTGTAGGTGCTGACCATTTATTGAAGAATAATCTGCTCTTTTATTCGTTTTTATTTCTTGAGAAATGGTCTTATTGCAGGATATTTGATTGCACTGTGAACCCCGAGATTGTGTTATTTCCTGGAAAAACTTGTTTTTAGTTGTGGTGTGGTTCAGCCCTAGCACACATCTTTAATCTAAGACCTTTCTGCTTATTGTAAACAAGATTAAGACAAACAAAACAAAACAAAACAAAACAAAACAAAAAACCCCAACAGTCCATAAGTCAAGCAGTAGATCAAGCAACCAGTTGACAGGAAATAACCACAGAGAGTAAGAGGGAGTCAGGAAGACAGATAGGGAGACACACAGGAAGTAGTAGGGAGGGACATTGAGTTTAGTGGCCTTTTGGTTTGAGATGACAAGGGATAAAGTCTCTTTCTGGGGTGTTGGTGAAGGAGGAAGGTCAGCTGGCTGTTTTCTCTGCCTCTCTGAGCTAGCAGGTTTTCACCCCAGCATCTGGCTTCCCAGTCTTTATTGATAAAATCAAACTATTGAGATTTAGTTAAAAACAACATTTAGATTTAGATAAAAAACAAAACAATAACAAAACAGGGTCTCATGTAGTTTACAATGGCTTTAAGCCTTCCTCCTTCTTTCAGTCCAAGTCCTAGAATAATAAGCATATACCCCACCACACTCCATTTCTACAATGCTGACATCACTCAAACATTCTACCAACTGAACCATATCCCTAGACCCAGCTTCTCTATAAAACAGTATAATTTAGTCTTTAGAACTCTTTGATACCAGTAGCACTTTTTCCCTGTGTGTGTGTGTGTGTGTGTGTGTGTGTGTGTGTGTGTTGTTTGCATGTATGTATGGGGACATGTGTCTACATATGCATATGTGGTGGTCAGAGGTTGATGTTGTCTCCCCTCAGTCACTCTCCATTGTATTTTTGAGGCAAGGCTCTCAGAGAACTTGGAGCTCACTGATTTTCTAGAATTTCTGGCTTCCAGCTAAATCAGGAAGACTATGGACTCATCTGAATTATACTGAGAGTTCAAATCCAGCCTGACTGACAGCAAGCAAGACTCTATCTAAATGCTGAGCTGAAGAAAACACCCCCACAAAATAACATAAATAAAAATCTCCAAGCACTGGTAATATTCTATTTAAGACAGGTGCTAAACACAAGCTTGTCACATATGTGTCCACTGAGTAGCTGACACAATAAAAAAATAAAAATTTTAATGTAAATTCCTTAGCAGGTTCCAATATGCTACTCACCCTCTGTTCTTCATGGTTTCCCTGTCACCATCCCTCCTGTCTGTGGCAGACTGAGGTCTCTCTTCTTCCTGAATTCCATCCCACCAACCCCCAAAGTGGCTCTTTGATTACCTCAGTGCCCCAGCTAGACTTTTCCTAGACTCTTTTGATGGATACTTATATACTCCACCACAACCATACATGAAACTGCTAGAGTGGCTGAGAACATGGGACTAGATCAGCCACGGACCTAGGGGAAAACCTCAGATTATTATTCTGCTAAAGGTACTTATTAATAAAGTGACTCCCAACAACATACTGCTATACCTGTAAATCAGTGCCTTTGCTCAGCCCACATCAGAGAAGTTTCTTGCAGGAGATGGAGATTAACACAGAGACACACAGTAGATAATGAGCAGAGAGTGGGAGACTTTTGAGCACTCGGTCCTACATGGAGGTCTTTATCAAAGCCTCAGGGATTTCCCTGGTCACTACCACTCATGTATGCAGCTGACTGGGATACTTCAAGCATTTTTCCTGCCATCAGCTATGGTGGCTCAACATCCAGAGACCGTCTAAATCTTCACCTCCTTACCAGCCATGGGCTTGTTCTCCACCCAATGGCAGCTACTTACTTTCCTATTGCTACTATGGATAAGCACCCCAGATTCCACTTTCAAACATCTCACATGCTGCCCCCCATCTTTTCAGCCCCTCTTTACTTTTAACAAACCATTAATCCTTCTACCCACAGCAGGACCTTGCCGAACACTCTTCCCAGAATGCAAAGGACCCGGAACACTTTACACAGCCATGGTAGAGATGTCCACATATAATCACTTATTTATAAACACGTGGGAAACAGCCCACCAACTTTTTAAGCTAAATATATGCCTACCATATGATCCAGCCATCCCAAGAAAACAGAAAGCATGTGTTCACATAAGGCTGTACATACATATTCAGGGTAGATCTATTTAAAATAGATCCAAGTTGGAAAGGGCCCAAATGCCAATCAAATGATGAATTGATATATTGCTATTTTCATACCATGTAGTATACCTCAGCAATAATAGAAACTATTTATGCAGTAACACAGAAAATCAAATAATCATGCCAAGTGAAATGAGCCAGAGAAAAATAACTGTGGATGCATTATAACACATAAGCTTCTGGAGAATTCACTCTCCTTCTGGTGACAGAAAGCAGATGAGGGTACACTTGGAGAAGGGGAGGGGTGGGGGGCTACAACGAGGTGTGAGGAGACTTGGAGGAAATGGCTGTGTATTGTTTTGATCATAGGGATGTTTTACAAGTACACACATATGTCAATATGTATTAAATGTATGTTTGCATCTGTGGCTTGTTTACCATCAATAATACAACAATTTCAAAACCATCCAGCCTGCTTGCCCCACTATACTTAAGTCTCTCTGCTCACTTCCTCCCCTCCCTCAGACAGCAGTGTTCTTTTACTTCTGGCCATCCTTGTTTAGTGAATAAACTGTCTTGGCTCCAAGCTAAAGCTAGCCCCTTCCTTCATGTCCAATGACTGTCTATATACCCTCAAGGACCTGGCTTTATCCCATGTATCCTTAGCTCTCCCTTTCACTGCAGCATGCAGACATTTGAAAATGTTTTCTACCCTAAAACACAATCTAGTAAAAGCTCTTAAAAAAAAAAAAAAAAAAGCATGGCCTCTCATCTGTTATCAGTTACTACCATTTCTTTGACATCCTTTTTAGAAAAACTCCTTATTCCTATTGTTCTTGCTTTCTTACCTCTTGAATTCACCCCTCTCCCCCACGCAGTATCTAATGCAGCTAACCAACCTGTGTACCCGGCATTATCAAATCTAACAGCTAGCTCCCAGTCTTTCAACACGAAGTCACACTTCAAGTAGTTCTCCCTTAGTGCGGATCCTGTCTTTAGCGTCTTCTCTCAATATTTTCTAGGTCCCTTGCTCAGTTCTTGGGTGGCACTAATGTGTCTGAGGCCTGGGTGGCTTTTAATACACTGTTGTCATATAATTTTATAATCTTAGTGTTCAGAGCAGGAAAGGTACTTGGTAAGCCCGGAATGAATAATAACATGAACTGAAGGAGTAAGGCACGGTGTGGTCTCAGGCCTGAGGTAGGTATACACTAATACTTTTAAGAAATTTTGTTATTTCATTATGTATTTGAGTGTTTGCCTGCATGTATGTCAATGCAACACAAATGTGCCTGTGGAGTCAAAAGGAGGGTGTTGGAGCCCCTGGAACTGGAATTACAGATGGCTGTTAGCTGTTATGCTGATCCTGGGAATGGAACCTGTGTCCCCTAGAAGGGCAGCCAGTGCTCTTAACTGTTGTGCCATGTCTCCAGCTCTATGGGGTTGGTCCTTATTCTTCTTCATAGTTTGTGCTATAAAGTCTCCATGAACATTGACTTGATGGGTGTTGGACCCCTGTTCCAGGAGATCCAGAACTAGGTTTCTGTGAATGTCTGGTTGTAGCATTTCAGCAACAGAGCAACACACAACCATTTCTTCTGTGCGTTCCTGTTTAAAGATCCCTTCATTTAATACACATCATTGACTCATTAACACCAGACTCATGGCCTACAGCACACTAACTCATGCCCGAATTTGAGTTTATCTAATACTCCACAGGGCACATGGTAGCCCTTATGTGCTTAGGAACAGTAGAAAACACTTCAGTTCTATACTTAGGAGTCACTTACAATAGCAAGGCCACCAATGAAATTCAATAGGTCACGAAGGTCATTGTACTCAGAGAGCTGATAGGAGAAGGCAGGGGACTCCTTGTTCAGCTTTATCTGGGGCTGGAACTGTTGGGTGACTCAGCATTTTTGAACGTCTGTGAATGACTCTGGAAGCAGTGTGGGTATTCATTTAAGGAAGACAAATGCATTTTGGTGAGCAAATAGAGTCAGTGAGCATCACCTATTTTGGCCTACCTTTCTGGAGCATGTGCAGTGCAAGCCAAAGACTTCTCTCCTGGGTCCACCCACGGCTGTGTGGGCTGCACAGTGCAAGGGATCAGGTAGATGGTGTATTCCCCCGAATAGTCCTTTCTGGAAAAAGGCAGAGCAGACTGTAGTCACAGGCAACACCCGGTGATGACAGCCCCAGAAAGACATGATTTCTTGAAGCAGGGTCCAGGTGGCATTTATGCACTGACAACTCTGGAAGTGGCATTTTCAGGAACTCATCTCTGATTAGTCTCACCTTCAGAGTATTATCCCAAGGTGTTAAAAAAACAAACAACATTTTCATTTACTCAAGTCCCTTCTGTGAGGAAAGCTATAAAAGGCACACTGCTAATAGAAATCCGGAAGGTTCAGGTGATGACAAATAGAGAGTTTAGGAAATCTGCCTGGAAGTTTGCTTAGTGTTTCTTGTCAGCTGACAACCTGCCAACATATTCTTAAATGCAAGAGCTCTGTCTGTTAAAGTGGAACTATGTCAGGTGATGTTGCAGAAAAGGAGGCAAATACCACAGAGAGAACATTTCACCGGAGCAGGATGGAAGCAGTGTGTCCTTGGAACATCCACCTCCATTGGACTAGCTCTCCATCCCAGGGTCTCCTCCCAGACTCAACAGCCTCATTCCTTTTCAGAGTTGAAGAACTAAAAACTATGGATGTTCATTGAAAGGGGGGGGGCACCCAGTGGGAATTAGTGTGCTTATAGAAAGACACAAAGTTCTCCAGAAGTCTTTGTACCCATCACTGACTTGTTACTAGTTAGCAACCCCAGCCCTGTCAGGTTAAATGGAAGGCAGGAGAACATTCTGGAATAATCTTCAAGTGTCTAGGTTTCAGGTTCTTGAAAGAAGTTGAAAACTTTTCAGATCAAGCCCCAGAAGCTTCCATCATGGTGTTTACCTGTTGTAAGAGCTTGTGGCTCTCCAGAGTTGATGTGGAGAGTCAAACGTCTGAGCACTCCATAGGAGTTGAAGGTCAAATTCAATTCCTCCTAGGTGGTCTGGAGTCAGTATGAAAGATTTCACATCTGGGAGAGTGTGATGCTCCATCACGAACTGTCCTGTTTCCAAGGGAAATATACTCTGATTTGTGAATTTACTGTGTTTGCCTAAGGTCCTAACTTTTGTTTCTCTAGCAAAGAACTAAGGGCACTAAGGGCACATATACCCTGTAGAATATATTTTACAATGGTTGAGTTAGCATAGCATCTGATACCAGCCCACCACCCTACTCATAATGACAACGAAATGTGATGAGCTTACATACAATTTTATTGATATTTTGGGACAATAAGCACTGAATATACCCAGCTTGGAATCTCATCAGACACATTTTTGGGGCTTAGTATTTTATAAATAGAAATATCAATGTTGGATATAATCACATTTAGATCTATTAAAGTCTTTGGTGGAAGAGGACAAGTGTAGATATCTCTGAAAACATAAAGGTTATTCTAACAAAACATTATTACTCTTAAAATTCAGTGTGAATGTTCAAGGCAGAGTGACTATTCTGGATGGAAAGAAACTAATGAGATAACACAACCAAAATCTAACACATGGAGTTTGATTGGATCTACTTTCCTTTATGTGTATAGATATAAAGTAAACATAAGGAAACATAAAGCAAGTAGGATAGCATTTGTGAGGGAAGGGGCTATTTGCACAGGGACTATTGTTCTATGTCGGGTACAATGGATGTGAAATGGTATTGTGATTTCCATGTTCTTATATGAGGTCTACTGAAGTGTTTGGGGTAATGTACACAAAGATGGAAACTTCTTTTCAAATGAGATTACCAAAAAAAGAGTGTGTATATGTTCATACATTCTCATTCTTTTCAAATGAGATTACCAAAAAAAGAGTGTGTATATGTTCATACATGGATAGTAAAATGTTAACAGCTATTAACTTTATTCTTCACTGTTCTAAGCTTTAAATTTCTAAATGTTTAAAATATTTTAAAGTAAAGAAGTAGGAAAAAGACACACAGACACTACCTCTGAATTTGGCATGGGTCTTGAACTCAATGACGAGACGGCCATCCTCTCTAATGTAGATTCTTATGATCTGAAGCCTGGCAGAGAGCACACTGTCTGTCTGGATCCCTGGACAAGCAACCACACACAAAACAAAGTCAGGGCATGGACAGGGTCTCCCAGATAGTGACCCTTTTAGACAACTGTCCCTGAGACGTCTCTGAGATGATCCAAGTATTTGTGGGAATGTGATTTGGAGAAAAGTTAAATATTCACATGAGCATCGACTGCAGACGACATCAGGGCCAATGAGCACAGTGCAGCAGCTCATTTCTGGTTCTGTTTTTTCCTTGTAGGGGTTCTTTATCTATGTGGAGACCACTGATCTCAGATTCAGGTTAGGTCCACATTTTAGGAAACAGTGGATCTAAAACTCCGAACAGAATCCCAAGTCCTGATGTCTACATTTTATACTCAAACCATGGAGAGGACAAGGGATCTTGTAGAAAATCAAGTGTGGCTTGACACACAGTGAGTCTAGACGCAGTTATAGGCATTCTGATGGGTTCAGAATGACCTAAAATAAAAGGTAATCAAAGGAGGAGAAAAATAAAAAGAATGAACCCCTCTCCACAATAAAAAAGAAAAGAGTCAAAGGTCCAAAGTTGATTTGGTTCAGGCAGGAGAATGTCAAGCTCTTTTCCCTTGGGGAATATAAAACAAACAGATGACTTGAGCTCAAGCCATTCAATGGAAGGGCCAATGCATTTTCAGTTTCTAGAGATGAAGCCTACATAGAGATGCTCTCGGAACTCTTCAGCATCTCTGCCTCAGATGAAGGGTGTCACCCCCAGAAAGGGGGGGTGAGCATGGGAGAAGTGGAAGTAAGGGGCCGTGGGCTTGGGGTCATGCTGAAGTTCAGAACAGTGGAAATGGAAAAACAAACAAAAGAACAATGGGTTCTCTAGACCTCAGCCTTCCTTCTTTTCTAGAAGACCATGGAAATGGAGCTATTGTTAGAATTCATTGCTTAGTTAATCATGATTGAACTTAAGACATCCATGGGCATACCTGTTCTCCAAAGAACCGTGTCATAGAAGAAAGAAAATTCCATCTCTGTGTGGTGCTCCAAGGAGGCCCAGCCCCTGGGCGCTGTCACATAGATGTAGGACACATAGAGAGGCACATGTACTGTTAGGAATGACTGAGCAGAGTCCCTCACCTGCCAATGAAACAGTACACAAAGAAACAGGCTTACTTCTCTCCTGGAAGGAAAGGGCACAAGACGGTCACCTTTTGGCTCAGTTTTCACCCACTCCCTTGGTCACTGGCTCATACAGTAATTCCTGATCAAGAGTCAACAATTGCAGTTTGTCTTTGAAACATATAGAGGTTCAAGGTGGCCAGGATGCATCTTCAGAAGAGGTGATCTTCAATGGCTTTTCTGGGGAGGTGACACTTGAACACAAATACTTTTAAAGAGTAAGAAGTATCTTTGCTTCCAATCTTCAGTTTCTAGAGGCATTTGCTGGAAACAAAGTCTCACAGGCCAAGGGATTTGCTCACTGACTTGTAACCTGTTACTGTGCTCGACCTGAGACCTGTAAGAGACACTGATCAATGGTGATCAGCAAGGCACCCAAGTCCCATCCTCTGGTATGAACACAGGCCTGGCTCAGGGTGTCTTAGTAAGAATCACATCCATGTGCCAGAAACAAAGGCCAGGCTTTGACATCACATCTAGGAAGCTTACCAATAGCTCAGGGCTGCAGGGGCTTCTGTAGTTCACTGGCACAGATGGAATTTTGGAGAAATGTTTAAAAAGAGAGCAGATCGCATGTTCAAGGGAAGACCACTCTCTAAGGGGACTCACTTTACAGTTATTAATTTGGTGCACTAACATAAATTTCACTAGGCAGTGAACAAAAACTGGATAGGAAAATAACATACAATTTCACAGTGAACTGTGTACATTTATGGATAGGAGAATTTATTTTAAAATTCCTATTTTCTCCATAAATATGTATTTCTTTTATAACAAAAAAGTCAGTGAAAGCTAAGTCAGTAAGTTTGGAGTTTACTTTGTTATTGGGCAGCTCCTATGAGATATTGAAGGATGTGTTGTTATTCCCTTCTTTCTCGCTGTTTTCCTTTATCCAAGATGGTATTACTTGCTAATCCTTAAGAACATTGTCTGACAAATATTTCATGCATACCTGGGTTATGGAGAGAGCACTAGTCACAGTTTAATATGAACTCAGGAGGCTTTCTCATTGAAGTCCACTGGTACTAGCTGAGAGGCACTGAATGACAGCCTACTTCTAGTTTCTCTGGTTGTTTTTTTTTCAATTACAATCAGCAATTTCAGTTATTTTTAGAGAAACAGACAACAATGAAATACTTGGCATATTTTTTATTCTTTCTGTCTTAAATTTTAAAAGTGGACATAAGCAATCCCTGCTTTTGGGACTTTCTAAAGACTACTGTGAACAATATATCCAGATCTTTAATTGAAGAAAACCCATGGAGAATAGAGAACATTAGTTTTCGAGGGGAGGAATAATCAGGCTTGTGATTGTTTACATCCTTGGACTCTATAGGCCAGGCATCTGTAAAAACAGAAACAAATGCGGGCTGCCTTGATGTTGTTATCCAGTAGAGGGCAGTGCTGCACACCAAAAAAGCCAGAGGACCCGGAACAAAGAAAACACATTTGAATTAAAGATACTCCCCAAATGATAGGTCTCTCTATAGGTTCTCCAGTTTAGTGAGGCCAAACTTGTTTTTGGAATGAAAAACAAGCAGCTAAAAAGTTTTTGGTTCACTGGGATAAATGCTCAAAAGGTGGGATGGAACCTGAGAATTAACTTTCCCATGAGGTAGCTTAGTCTCACTGTCACTCACAGAACTGTCCTTCTGAGCCTCTGGCTTCTCCTTGGAAAAGCTGCTGCCATTAGGACTGTTTAGTGGTTTGCTACACATGCACACAAACAAACATGACTGTGTGTATATCTGTTTTTACTGGGGTTGTGAGTTTGGAATAAGCACAGAGCCAAAGTGCTTGAAGCAATGGACTCTCCCCCTTATTCTGAAATCCAGAGTTGTCTTCTGAAAGGCGTGCCACCTGCTATCCTGATTCATACAGAGTGGGGAACAGAGAGTACACCCACATAAAGGACTCCACTATCAAATGCAAATCTCCATTTCCCAAAGCATACACAGAAAAAAAAGAATCACGCATCCTTCTAAAGAAGTTGGTACTCATGTTTGTAAAGTTGGCTCGCCACAGTAATTTTCTTATACTTTAACTTGATTTAGAAGACACCAGGGCTCTTTTAACCACAATACTGCTGAGACCCAGATAAGGGACTTATTCAGAATATGACCTACCTGGCTAGCCCGGTTTGGAATGCTATGTGCTAAGTGACAAACTTCTAGAACTGAAGAGGCATGCCACCCAAGCACAATAACCCAGGGTACGCACCTGGAAGTCAGCAGTCACGGAGCCCCCACACACGTCAATCAGCTCTGTCATGTCATAGTACGCATCAAAGGTCCATACACAGCTCTTCAGGTTCAGGTGTCTGTACAGCTGGATGGTCTTAGGCTCCCGGACACTTGGGTCAAACTGGAAGGGGCGGTCATAGCCAGGGCCCAGAGCAGTACTATGGAAGCCTGAATCATCTAGGAACCCTGCCTCTGCAGGAGGGGAGGGAGGGAAGAGGAGACAGTGACTTGGTCTAAGCATGCCAAGAGTCTGGGTGAAGGGGAGATCACTGAGCTGCTCACCTGAGATTGTGGCTGAATCTAACTTGGAATCCCAGTGTACAGTGAGGTCCAGAGAGAGCTTGTAAAGCAGTGAGCTGCCTACTGGGGGCTGAGGACATGACTCAGTAGGTAAAGTGTTCCTCACAGAATACACATGAGGACCTGAGTGGGGATTACCAGCATCCATAGAAAAAAAGCCAGGTAGAGAGGCATGTGTGTATAATGCCAGTGCCGAAACATGGAGACATGGACATTCATTGGCCAGCCAGGAAGCTCCAGGCTTAATGAAGAGATTGCATCTCAAAAAGTAAAGTGGAGAATGACTGAGGAAGACATCTTTAATGGAGCTTTGGCCAACACATATGTACAAACACACAGATGAACATGTACACATTATATAATAACCCCCCATGCACACACCAGAGACAGAGACAGAGACAGAGACAGAGACAGAGACAGAGCATGAGCTGCCTGTTGCCTGGTGTTAAATGGAGCACTGCCTCTCCAAAAATCTTGGTACCCAGGAGAAAGTATGAAGACAACGTGACATCATGGATGAATAAAGCAATTTTCCAAGTGTTTCTACATCTCCCATGGCCCACCACCGGTCTTGATGAAATTGATTTGCTATATGGATCATTTACTCATAGATAACCATTTTTAAGACCAATTTGAAAAACAGCTTTATGAAAAGCCATCAAACCATTATCCAATTTCCTCTTCCTTGTCCTCCAATAATTCCTGACCTCATGGGGGGAGGAAACACCTTAATTAGTAAATAACTTGCTAATGATGCACAACTCAACTTTACTTGCTTACAGGTCCTACATGTCAAAATTACTGGATCAAATGCTACCAAGCCTGTGAACTGTTCTGAATATTGGTACAGTTTTAGAACATTCGAAATATAATTAACTTTTCACATTTTTATTTATTCATGTGTGTGTGTGTGTGTGTGTGTGTGTGTGTGTGTGTGTGTGTGTGTGCACCTGCGTGTGTGTATAAGACCATGGCATGGAGGTCAGAGGACAACTGTGGGAGTCAGTTTTCTCCTTCTACCATGTTGGTCCTGGACACCAAACTTAAGTCATCATGCTTTGAAGCAAGAGCCTACACCCTCTGAGTCCCTTGCTGCTCTCAGAATGTAACTTTTAGAGTACTAAAAGTGGCCATCGCATTTAAAAGAGCTAATGCATCTCACAATGTCTGCCACCAGCAACCGGTCCTGTGTCCTATGGGAAATTCAATTCACCTGTGATGAATTTAATTATTTTTAAACAGGGAGAGGCAGAGATTTTCAATTTTTTAAATCACACCATTTCCTTCAGTGCCTATGTATTTAGAGTGATTCAACTTTTGTGTGTAGTTTAATGGTTTAAGAATAATTTGCACTCAACTAATTCTACTGTACAAAGACCACCACTACCAAAAATGATACTTAATGACTATGAAAGGGCAGATGAATGCATTTCTGTCTTTAAAACCACTGTTGAATGATTCATCGGCTAACGCGGTGGGAGCAGGGTGCGGGTGGGCACCCATTTCATGTGCACTTGTCAAAGTAAATGGAAACGGACAGCACTTTTTGTAAAGTGAAATGTCTGTTGTGGTGAACACAGATGCACAGCCTTTAGCCGTTGGCTTCTGCAGGCCCTCATCTGCTGTGGGTGCCCAGCCAAGGTCAGGCCCACCCGGAAACAGGGGGAGGTGAGCTATACAGGGTTTTCATCAGCATATTTCTCTTTGCTAGGTTGCAGTACTGTTGGGCATTTCCTTTTGCCCAATCCTGCTTCTTCCCCTTACCTTTACGTAGATGTTGATCTCTAAAGAAAATCATGTTCCCTAAACTTTATTTCCACTCCTGCTTCCAGCACCTAACACCGCACTGTCTAAAGATGTTGCTGTCATGGGAGCCTGAAACTAAGGATGGTCTCTGTGGGTGGGGAAGTGACTCACATTTACCATGGAGGCATTTTAAATGTAACAACACATCGGATCCTCCCAATCTGATTGGCAGAAATAGTTGTTCTCACGTCACAGATAAGGACACAGTGGCTGAGGTCTAGGTACCAAGCTCAGAACAGGCTTGGAATCTAAATTAATTGTGTTTGAAAGACCCTCCTTTTCCTGGTTCCTTCAGTTGTGCTCCCTGTGTTTGGATGCTTTCTAAGAAGGAAAATTGAGATAGTTGAGGACTAGAAACCACGAAAAGTCTAATCCTCCTCACGGAGCACCACCTCCAAAGCTGTTACTCACCTGAGAGTCCTCGCAGGTCACGGGCAGTGACTAAGTTGGAGCAAACGTGCTGGTGTCTGTAGATGGACTCGGACAACAGGAAATGCAAGTTGTGTAAGGGCATTGTGGAGATGAGAGGCAGCATTCCGTCCTGGTGGGGAATCTGCACCGAGATGTGGATTCTGGAGGGAGGAGACAGAAGTGTTCAGCTCCAGGATGGAGTTGCCAACTGGACACACTCCTTTGTCATCACTCATTTGTCTTCACCAATGAGTTTAGCAGTTTTCTCCCCTTGACCTTTTCCATGTAGGATTTATATCTGAACATGAGGATATTGATCAGTGGTTCTCAACCTTCCTAATGCTGTGACCTTTTAATACAGTTCCTCATGTTGTGTTGACTCCCAACCATAAAATTATTTCCATTGCTACCTCATAACTGTAATTTTGCTACTATTATGAATCCTAATGAAATTATCGGTGTTTTCTGATGGTCTTACAAGACCCTGTGAAAGGGTCAGTTGAGCTCCAAAGGGGTTTCGATCCACAGGTTGAGAACCTCTGATATAGATATACATGTAGGGTCACTTTCATTCTTAAAGGATCTTCAAGACTCATGGCAATCAGGAAATATAGAATTTTTTCTCCCTATACAGGATAATATTACACTCCCAAATTACTTTGAAGCTTCCATTTACTTTAAGTGGCAGCCCTGTCCCGTTAGGAGCTAAGGCTTAGTGACTGAAGCAGCTGTCATCCCCACTCTCTCTCCATGTATAATGTGGGCTGGCCTGTTTATACGGTTCTTTGTGAGTGTGTCATGTATGTTGTGTGTATGCATATTTGCATGGGTGTAGGTGCCTTCGTGCGTCCTTGAGGAAGCTGGAAGCTGACCTCAGGTGTCCTCCTGGATCTCACTCTGCTTCAAAGCAGGGTTTCTGGTTGAGCCTGGAGCTCACTGGTTCTAGCAGTCCAGGCTAGCCAGATTGCCCTGGTGAACCCCAGTCTCTGTCTCCTGAGTGCCGAGATTACAAGTGGCTTCAACAACTGCTGAGTTTTTCCATATGGGTTCTAGGGAACTGAACTCCATTCCACACACTGTGTGCCAAGTGCCATAGCCACTGAGTCACCTCCCCAGCCTGTGGATATCTGTAAAGAGACACCATAACCACGCCTCCTAAGGGCTGGCTACACGTGTGCCTGACCATGCCTGTCAAGGCGTGGTCAAGGTGAGGCCAGAGTGACTCCGGATGGGCTCTTAAGCGATCACGAGCACATGGAACACGCTCTTCCCCTTAGGCTGCCCCTTCTCTCTGGCCTCCCTGCCTTGCTACCCCTGGGCACACTCTGGCTTGCATTTGGCTGGTATTTATCTGAATAAAGGTATCTTGAATCTACAAGCTTTTCTCTTCAGATATGCTTTTAGGCATTTATTTAAATAATAATAATGCTGAGAGATAGAATGATTGAATTCTTAAAATTTAAGGTCAGTTTCTTCACCCAGCCAAATCCTACTAACCATAGTGTCTTTCTTCATCTAAAACCAGTCATCTCTCTGTTGAAGTCCCCCCTCCCTACCAGCACCTTGCATCCCATTCTGACCATCCCCAGTCTTCAGTAACCTTTGCCTCCATCTCTGTTCCTCAACCCCAGGAAGCCTTTGTCCCAGGCTGTGTGTAACTTATTCACACTGGCTTCTGTTTCTTGTATGTTCACAGACTGCTTATCTCGCCTCCCCACTCTGAGGACAAGGACCGTTTCCTTCATTGCCTTTGTCTCTGCAGTGCATATAGAATACAATTCAAAATAAAATATGAACTTAATAAATGCTGGTTAAAGCCCGGGACACAAGCGAAGCTGTACTTATGGGCTGCATTTGTTTTCATTGCATAAGTTTAAATTTTCACAAAGCTTATTGAGTGGGGGCTTTGAAGTTTCTAAAGCTGGTCTGTAAGCTCATTTTTTCCCCCTCGAGGAATCTAGACATGAGGCTGAGTAGCATGGCTCCTTACCTAGGAAAGGGTCAGTGCTGCCCTTGTTCTTCCGTTACTGCTCCTTAACAAAAATAAATTCTATTCTGTTTGAAAAGAAGAGGGATTTGCATGGACTTGGCCCCAGTCAGTGATTCATAGAGGTAAATACTTAAATTCTGTGAAGCTTAATGAATATGTATGACACGGAGGAAGTCTCTTTTGCTATGCAAGAAATGTAAGTATCCGTCTCCCATTAAAATCATGATGGCAGAAGGAAAAAAATAAGTCTAGTGACTTGTAGCTTTGATGGTGTTATTACTCATTAGTTCAGCAGATACTCGGCAAGTGTGTCTTGGGGATCAGAAGCATTGAATTAGAAGGAAGATACACAACACAGATCATTGGGTCCCTTCCCTTATGGTTTTCACCATCTACCATAGCACATGGATGTCGAGAATGGTGGTAACACACTGAAAGCAGCATAGACAAGCACCAGAGGATTGGAGGAAATGCTGAAAGTGTTCCTAGAAGAGACACTCTTTGTGCCATGTTATAGAACAAGATGACTTAACCCCAGCAAGTGGAGTGAGTGGGAGAGCTGGAGTTGGGGCTTTAAACCACCAAAGAGTTTGAAGACCTAGGGAGGTATCGTGAGTCTCTTCAGGAGGCTGGTGGGGCAGGCAAAATGCACAAGATGAGAAGAGCAAGGCTAGGAAGACAGGCAAGGGGGCAGCCCTCAAGGAGCCTTTGAAGGAAGCCTTTCTCCTAAAGCTCTAATTACCATTATTTAATTTTTCAGGAATGTCTCTCACTGTCCTGCCGTGGCTGGAAAACACACAAGGATATTGCAATCCACTCATGGGGTGGGGTGGAAGGTGGGGGGTGTCATCTGACCTGTTTGGATGCTCTTTGTGTTTGACGTCCAGGTATTTCAAGGTTGCAATGAAGGACTGTGCCTGGAAGCCTCGAGCTGTCCCGGCCACCACTGGGGTATGGCAGATAGCACTGTCTGTTCCAATGGTAACAACATTGCTCCTCAAAGGGGTCCCTACATGGCCCACCTTGTCCACAGCCTTTGCCACACAACGCACATGGAACCGCCGGCTGAAGTAAATGCTGTCTAGGACCTAAGAGACAAATAAAGTATCACTGACATGAGTATACTGCATAAGCACTATGTCTGATGGGTATGATACAGGAATCCTTGTTACAGGGTTAGCTATGGAGGCCATCAATGCATCCATCTGTCTGTCTGTCCCTCCTGCCCACCATCCATCCATCCTCCAGAGCAATCCCTACTGCTCCTCAGTAACAGAGGCAGAGTGAGAGATTCCCACCACTTCCCACAGAATTGCAGAGGTCATAGTGTCATAAAAGCTTGAGGCTGAGAACTTGGACTCTGACACCTCTTCACCTTTGAAAGTCTTTCTCCAGATTCCTTCACATTTTCAGAAATGCAAAAGCAAGAGGAACAAGGGCAGTTCAGAGGCAATGTAGGTCCCTGTCACCTGGACATGTCAGGTGATGTGTGCACACATGGGAAGCATAGGTCAGGAAAATTAATTAGTAGTTCTCTGTGCCTTAGACCTCCCACAAAGCAATCAAATAAATGTTGTAATTCCTCCCATGGAAACAATTTTCATTGAAGTCCATTAAAAATTAAAGAAAATTTTCCCATTAAACTTTTTTTAATTAGCTGCCACCTCTTTATTTATTTATAAATGGACTTAGTCTAGGACGGATGTTAGGCATGTTACAAAAATGCATAAACACAATGGTATTAAATAAATAATTGAAGAAATGAACATCAAGCAAAGGAAACTGGGGTAAAGAGTATTAGTCACCAGTTCAATGCAGGGAAAGCTAAACCACAATGCTATAAATTTAGTACCTATAAAAAGATGGACTTTTGTCTCAAATACAAGTTCTGTTTGAAACAGAATTAGATACTTATAATAAGCTGTTAAGGCTTCTCTCTCTGTCTCTCAGCTCTCTCTCTCTCTCTCTCTCTCTCTCTGTGTGTGTGTGTGTGTGTGTGTGTGTGTGTGTGTGTGTGTGTACTGATACCTTGGCTTCTCTGTCTTTGTCTTAAACTTTGTTTGAAGCAGGGTCTCTCTGTTGTTTGCCACTGTCCTGCACACTCCAGGCTAGCATGCTTCCTGGAATTTTCTTGCTTCTCCTGCCACCTCACCATAGTATCACTGAAATGATGTGCTGTCCTGCCCAGTTTTATGTGGGTTCTTGGGATTTAAACGCAGATTTTCATGTGTGTGCACAAACTCTCTGTCTCATAAGCACTTCTCAAGCCCTTAAGTTTTTAATACTACAGAAGGTGATTTAAATTTGTGCTATATTGCAAAAGAATGGGTTTCCTGCTTTGTGAGTACGTTGTGCCAAAGACAATGGCTATGAGTGACCCTGTTCGACAAGAAGTGTAGTCTGAAAATCTCAGAGGCCCCACACTAGTCAGGAAAGGAGCTGCAATGAAAATGCAGCTACAATGAAAAAGACATTTTGCTACAGACAGCTAGAGTTTGCATTGAGCCCGAGTGTTGACTGTCTTAAATCACCCCGGAAAAAAAAAATTACCCATATCACTGCTGTATGAGGAAATCCGCTGTGGAACACTTCTTCCCAAGTCTTGGCAAACAGTACTAGTGACCACTCCTGTTGGGTGGTGGGTGGGGTGTGGGTGTGCTTATTTAAAGAAAAAAAAAAGACATTTGCCCTAGGATCTCCTTTTCATGTCCTCCCACAGGGCTTTACAAAGTGCAGACCACACAGTTCGTGTTCTGTCCTTCTGTTTAAAACTCACTCCCTACTGTGTGCCATTCATCTGCTGGTTATCGGAAGATTTGTGAATGTGGTAGAAATCTGATTCCTCAAGAAGTTTATACCCAAATTCCTACTGAATGATTAAAAATACATAAAAAGGAATCAATGGTAGCCACCTGGAAGCTTGGACTTGCTTGATCATTTTTAAGCCAGTGATCTTGTCAAGTGGCCGAGTGTTGGTTATATTTTACGGATCAGGAGACTAAGAGAGGTCAAAGAGTGCCTTCATGTTAAGTGGCTGAAAGGGGGCAGACTGGGATTTGTGAATAGGCCAATAGACGGCTGGCTCAGTTCTCTTCCTATTACACAGCATTACTTTTGCTAACATCTAAGCCTCGACCTGATTATCTGATTTACTCCAAATGCCACGCACAGACCTCATAGAATTTGACAAGAGCTGCACCGGCTCTTTTCCTCCTGATGGGTTCAGCCTGCCTTACCTTGTGGTTGACACTGGTGAATGGTGTGTTATCAGTAATGGTCTCAAAGGGAGACCGAGCCCCATTGCCATCAGTGGGGGCAGCCACTTCCCAGCTGAATTGCACGGATGTTTGGTTGATGCCAGCCTCGCTACAGCGCTCCTTCATGACAGCATACCTAGGGAAGTGGGGGTCACAGGGAGTGACACAGACCAGTGGGTAGCCTGGAGATGGGGCTTTCTTGATTCCTTCCTTTGTAACCTCTTCCACATGATCATAGTCAGCAAGGGTGACGACCTAGGAGAAAGCAGCAGAGCTCTGGCTGGGTTGAGGAAAACAAAGACCTGGGAGCTACTGCGGCCTTCCCCAAGACCGCACAACCTCTTCACTCCTGGGGATTCCATGAGCCACAACAGGAAACTCTGCAGTTCCTTGCCAGGCAAAGGTGAAGACACTGTGCATAGAGGAGATCCCCCTAGAAGTCTTACTATCCTATTAACTGCATTCAGAAACCAGAGCCTTATCTCTTTATGTGAAAAAATACACTAATTCTTTTACACATTGGAACCCAGATTATATTACTAAGGGTGGCTGCTAATTTAGAGTTGTATTCAATTGTTAATGGCACATAGAGGCATGTTTTCTAAAATAGGAAAAAAAGAATAATGAAGGTAGAGTATTTGTTTCATAGACAAATAGGAGACAACTTTTGAAATATCCATCTCTTCTAATACATAAGAGACTAGTTAGGGGGAGTTAGAAGAGGAGTTCCATTACTTGACTCTGGATTTAGAGTCCACTGCTGATCTTTGAGCATTTTCTTCCTAATGACATTCATTTTATTCCTCCCAACCTGAGAAACATGACACCACATGCCTACATATGGCCCCTGCCTGACACAGGCTGGCTGTAATAAAAATCTATGATCCAAAGTACACTTCATCCTGGTTACTCTTTTTTTTTTCTTTTTTCTTAATTTTTCTTTCCCTTTTACACTTAATTCTGTGTGTGGTAAGTATGCAGGAATAGACACATACAGTAGTATTGCTTTCTTACTCTTCCCACAAAGCAATTAGAAGATCAACTGAATTGCACTTTCTATCTTTGTCTGATCAATATGTTGACAACTTGTTCTTGCATCAGGAATGGGTTCCTCTACCCTTTGCACTATCAGCATTTGTGCCAAATAACTGGTTTTTTTTTGGGGGGGGTCTGTGCACTGTGCACTGAGGGAAGGGTGTTTTGTAGAATATGTGGATTCTATCCACTAGATGGTCATAGGACCCTGTGTGAGAGATGTGCCAAGCAGAAATGTCTCCAACATGGTCAAAATTCCCTGTAGGGGTGAAGCGGAAGGAGAGAGCCCCTTGGCTCAGTGCCAAGAACAAAAAAGCACACACTGGGATCTATCATCTCCCTAGTTCTCATCTACTGCAGGCCATGGAGACACAAAACCAGTCATCCTTTGGACCAAGCAACTCACAATGGGTGGTGCTGGCAATATGAGACTTCCTGCTGCCTCTTGGTCTAGAATTGTCACAGTCGCTGTGGTCACGTCCCCAAGCACTGCTTCCACTGGGTCATCTGGGCCAAGGACTAGAGAAAAGGATTCGTGCCATTCCCGATCTTCATTGGACAGGATCTCAACTTTGAAGAAGATGTGATCCACACCTTCACCAAGGACAGAACGGAAAGAGCAAAGATGAGAGGATATACACAATAGAGTGCAGGCTGGCACAGCTCAGACATCACATTAAAATATGCCCTGTCCTTTCAGGGGCTCCTCACAGATACAATGACTGCTAATCACTGCAGACCCATCTCGAGTACAGACTCTGTTTTATAGACCAGATTCTCTGTGGTAGAGACTCGGCACTGTAGATTTACTATTCAACACCATACAAGGATTAATGGCCCCTGCCTGACACAGGCTGGCTGTAATAAAAATCTATGATCCAAAGTACACTTCATCCTGGTTACTCTTTTTTTTTCTTTTTGCTTAATTTTTCTTTCCCTTTTACACTTATGCATGAGCTCTCACATTGCTGTGAGAGCTCACAAACAGATGTCCTCCAAAGCAAAGGCACAAAGGATGCCTACCAGCCCAGGCTTCACAAAGATAATAACACAGAGGACCAGATGCTGGAAGGAGGCAGGCGACGGCTTTAGAAGTTCACTCCATCTCTTGTAAAGTGCAGGGCAGCAGGACGTTTCCTCTCCTCCTTCCCACATCTGGTCTACCCTGCTTCTGACCCGTCCCCCCTTCAGAATAGTAAACAGCAAAAATACAGAGTAAGGAGAACGAATGCAGATGTGGAAGATTGGCTACCGTTCCAGTAAACACCAGGTAGACACACAAAGGATGGAACTGGTACTGCCTAGTTTTATGTCAACTTGACACAAGTTAAAGTCACTGGGAAGGAGAAAGCTTTAGATGAGAAAATGCCTCCATAAAACCATGCTGCCGGCAAGCCTGCAGAACATTTTTTTTTAGTTAGTGGTTGATGGGGGAGGGCCATTGATAGTGGATGGGGCCATCCCTGGGGTGGTGGTACTGGGTTCTACAAGAAAGCAGGCTGAACAAGCCACAGGGAGCAAGTCAGTAGGCAGCACCATTACACAGCCCCTGCATCAGCTCCTGCCTCCAGCTTCCAGACCTGTTGGAGTTCCTGGCTTGACTTCCTTCAGTGATGGACTGTGATGTGGAAGCGTAGACTAAATAAATCCCTCCTTCCCCAGCTTGCTTTTGGTCATGGTGTTTCTTCACAGTGGTAGTAACCGTAACTAAGACAGCCCTGGAAAACTCCAGTGAGGTGTCTGAGCTGCAGGAATGGCAATCCATTTCCCTACTGAAATCAATGCATCTGACAGCCAAACGGTTGCGGCTGGACTCTTGTCTTTTTCTCTTCTCAGACCCACCACTGTTGTGTCTCTAAGATACACTGTTTTTGGAAGCTCATGGCAGGCTCTCCTGTTTCCCAATACATATAAAACCATTTGTACATTGGGATTGTGTCTGTCAGATTTTGGTAAGCCCTAAAGGGCTCAGGACAGCATTTTCCACCATATATCGAATGATGTATGTGCATATGTCTGTATTTAGAATCAAGGCTGGAGCAGTCCTATATTCCAGACCCCCTGAACAAGGAGGTCAGTTTGGATGTCTGGACAATCTATGGGGACACTGGTAGTGGATCAGTATTTGCTTTTAGCACACAAATGGACTTTGGGAGCCCTCTCCACATAGAGGGATACTCTCTCAGCCTTGACACACTGGGGAGGGTCTAGGCCCTGCTCCAAATGATATGACAGACTTTGGAGATACCCCATGGAAGGCCTCTCCCTCCCTGGGACGCACAAAGGGGTTGGGACAGGAGGTGGGAGGAGCAGGGGAGGAGGGGAGGGAGAGGGAACTGAAATTCACATGTAAAAGAAGCTTGTTTCTAATTTAAATAAAAATATAAATAAAAAAAAATAAAATCAAGGCTGTCTCACTCAACTAAACAACAGGCTAACAAAAATCCTTTCGAATAAACCCAAATGCTCAGTGTGTTCTATGGATGGGTACAAAAAAAAAAAAAAAAAAAAAAAAAAAAAAAAAAAAAAAAAAACTAGCTAAATTTTTATCTGCAATTTCAAATATATATTTAGTAATTGCTTTATATTATTGAAGCTATTATATTATAATTTAAGAACTCATCATAATCTTCTATTCAAATGACATTTTCCTATCCACTAGGAAAAACCTAGCTGGGCAGTAGGGGCACGTGCCTTTAATCCCAGCTCTTGCAAGGCAGAGGCATGTGGAACTCTGTAATTTGACGTCAGTGTGGTCTACAGAGCAGGTTCCAGGACAGCCAGGGCTACACAGAGAAACGCTGTCTCTCAAAAACCAAAACCAAACAACAACAACAAAAAGATCCTTATAAATTGGACTGGTGGGAAGGGGGCGGGGATCTTTGGGAATGGGAGGGACAAGAGAGGACAATAGCAGAGTGAATATGATCAAAATGCACTATATACAGATGTAAAACATCATAATGAAATCTATTATTATCTATAACCAATAAATGCTAACATAAAACAAGAAAAAAGAAAACCCAAAGACTGAGACTGGTACTCACTCACCAGGACTGAATTTCAGGACTCTGCTCTTGGGGTAATAATCCACACCAGACTGGGCAGACCCGTCTCGAGTGCTGCAGCGGATCTTAGAAGTCCTATTTTGATCGCCTCTGCGGATGACCTTGATGCTCAGAACTGCAATGGCATCTGGCCCTGCAGGTTCCCGCACTTGGTAGGCAGCTTCTTCAAACTCAATGGTAGGAGCTAAAGAAATGTGGGCAGGAAAATAAGAGAACGTTACAACAGCTCAAAGGGTCAGACTCCCGAGGAAATAGCTGATAGGGACCAGAGGGAGCTGTTCATAGTACCTCGGCCAAACGGCTAGCAGTCATACAGACCACCAGTGTTTAACCCTGAGCAATGTTTTAGACAAAGGAACTAATCCTGGAGCATTATTTCTCACATGATTCTTGCTAAAAACAAAAAGTGGAGACACTAAGACTTTAAAATGTATGATAGTTAAGCTTCCAACATGACACTGCAGTTCAGAGAATGTTTTTAAACTAAAGCTTTTAAAATTAAAATTTGCACAATTTATCAAGGGACTGAGACACAGTAGGTACTCAATAAATACCTATTGATTGATTACATAAATAATCTTTTTAGTTATAAACTCCCAATTCTTAAGGTTTATAATGTATCTCATGTAGATATTTCTTGAGTATACCAACTCGATATTTTAGTTCTGGGCCTTTGGACTTCTATCTCAGTGTTTTGACCCCTCCCGACCTGTGCCTGCTTTTTCTAAGTTCTAAAAATTTATTTAATCAGTGTAGTTAGTTTAGGAACACAAGCTTTCTTAACTCAGTATGGTTTGAGACACTATTGTTGTTGTTGGAAAATGATTAATAATAATATTGGTTTTTACCACCTGAGTTCAAATTTCATTAGGATGGTGGCAGAGAAGAAGATAAAATGATGGGGAAAAGTGAGAGAAGTTATTAATTCTATAATCATTTTAGTGCATTACAAAATATTTTAGAAATTTCTCATCTCTTTTTTTCTGTCTTTCCTAGAAAGTTTCATCTTGACTTTATAGTTTTAGGTAGGAGGTTCTTTGAAACATTGGCACACTGCTGAATGGGATGAATTTGTTACCTTGTGAGTCTTTTCCTTCCCATCTGTATTTATGTATTTCCTTCCCATCTGCACACCCATGTGCAGATGCCCACAGAGACCAGAAACAAGCATTGGATCCCTTGTGGCTGGAATTATAGGCAGCTGTGATCTGCTTAAGTGGCTACTGGCATCTGAACTCCGGTTCTCTGCAAGAACAGCCATTGCTCTTAACCACTGAGCTATCTGTCCAGCCTCAGTCTTGTGAATCTTGATCATCTGGGTTTTCTTTGTGTCTGAGAAAGGTTCGCCTTGGGGGTTAAACCTAGGCTAATTTAAATATAACCTCCCCCCGCCCTGTGTTTGTGTGCGGTTGTGTGCACATAGAGGCAAGATGTCAACCTCAGGCGTTGTTCTTCAATAGCCACCTACTTTTTTCTGGGGCAGGATCTCTCACTAGAACCTGGGGCTTACCAACTAGGCAAGGACGGCTGGCCAACAAACCCCAGGGCTCTTCCCGCTTCCACTTCTCAGCACTGGATGTATAAACACATCTGGCTTTTTATGTGGATGCTAGGGATTGAACTCAGGTCTTGACCCTCGAGGGTCAAACACTTTCCCAACTGAACTATCTCGCCAGCTCCGAGGCCAGCTTTTCTTATTGATGTCCAAGATGGTTTCTGATTTTCATGAGGAGCTCTAGGAGTCTCACCACTCTCAGAGTAGTTAAGAATGCAGATTCTAGAATCCAGTAAAAATCAAGGCTCTCATCCAGTGTCCCTGCCTACAGCTCTGTAGCTAAGATGTAAATTAAGTGCTTTGTTTATATTCTGTTTTTCACAAATAAGGTTAGTGACATCTACTTCTAGGATTATTGCCAGATTTAAGTAAAACAAGGTAATAGTATGCTTAAGAAGGATAATACACATTTTTAAAAAGCAGAGTTTGTATTATGCATTCATCTGTTGAAATAATCTATTTTAGTAAAATGATGTTTCAATTAAAAACAGGTGCTGTTTCCTTGGGCATCTGGTCATTTTATAGGTCACTTGATGTTAGAATTTAAGATTATTTGTTTTTGTCTATGTAAGAAATCAGATGTTACCAGGCAGACAGCAATGTTTCAGGTTAGTACTTGAGACTCAGTGACATCTGGTTGTATTTCCAGTCCCCCTCCAGACCTGTAGCGACTTGCATGATTTGTATTCTCCGCTTAGGGTTCCTGTCCTAGCATATTTTTCACTATCTTTGACAATAATGAGATTAAGGATTCCTGTGAATTTACAGGAGCCCACAGAAGGTGACCATTTGTTAAAGCATTCTATATAAATATTCAGAGGTTGCTGTAAGTTGGCACATCTCTAGCATGTTCCCCCTCAAAACACTAGTATTATTCATAAGCCCCTGTTCATGTCCTAGAAGCCTAACAGATGCTAAAAGGAGTCTTTGCTGTTACCATCTTCGTCATTGGATATGGTCACAGTGGCCACACTGTTCTTCCCGACTCTGGCTCCACTCCAGTGGTTCCCAAGGGGATGGCCAAGGTAGACCCTGAACTGCTCCTCAGGCTCAAACATGGAGTCATCATGGATGTAGACAGTGCAGTTCTTCGCCTACAACCAACACACAAGACATATTCAGCCTTGTAGGAGGAGACCCGTGATAGGCAGTTTTCCTAGATGTTAAATCTCCCTCTTTGTAGCATCCAAGAATTGGCACAAACTCAAAAGCATCTCAACAGTTTCATTTATAAAATGAACTTTTAATTCTAACAGCTTGTGCCTGAGTAGGACGTACCCATACACTAAGGCTTGAGAACATTCCAAACCATTTGAAATTTTTGGTGATAAATTATTAAAACCAAGCCAAGATAAGCAACAATGCACTAAAACACCTGCAAACACTGGTGTGCTTTCCCACATGATATCTGGGCCAATGAAGACATTTGTGCTTGTTATAAAATGTGGAAGTCTTAATGATCAGAGTCAGCATATGGCTCTTCTTCTTGGAGAGCTGAATCAATTCCTTTTCCTTTGTGAAAACTGAATAATTTTGTAAGAAATTCAGAAAGGCAGCATCTTAAGTTAAAGATAACTTTAAATGCTGAAGAACTTTCGAATTTTCTACCTACTAGTATGTCATCTGAACACTACAGAGGATGGAAACCTGGAACAGAACCCAAGTTCTTGGTGGTGGTAGGAAACCAAGCATTTCTCAAACTGAATATTCTCTACTAAGGACCAGGCTTCCGGGAAGATGTAAACCCAAATCACAATGTTTTTTATATGGCAGCCTCAGCAACAGACTCATGTGATAGGATGTTGTCGCCGGACCATTTTAAATTTACTAAATTTACACAGGCTGTGTGTTGGCAGGAAGGAGTTCTAAACCTTACTTCCCAAATCATGCAAAATGGCAAGACTTCCCTGTGAACATCTGTATGTGATTTCTTAACATCCCTTCAAGTTCCTAAAGAATGGCCCTTTTCTTTCAATAACTTTGCTACAATAAGAATTCATTATGGAATAGATGAATTTAGTAGTGACTTTTCAATCTTTAAAAAAAGACATTTTCGTAAATGCCAACTCTAAAGACATATGCTTAATAAGCCAAGGAAAATGAAGATTCCAGAGTGTGCCGAGGAATTATGATAGATTATAGAGTGGGTAACATATGGTCTACTTGATTTCTTTTATTAAATGAGAAGCCATTTCTCCAGTAGGCAGTGAATTTTTTTCCGAGTTGGGAACAAATACAGATGTACAGACAAAGCTCCTGAGTGTTTCTGCAGTATTTGTACATGTTCTAAAACTCAGGCTCTAACTTGCCACTAACAAATTTCCAAAAACAAGGACCAGCCTTTGTGAGTCATGACTGTCTGAGGCTTCATTTGTTTACTCTTTGTAGTGAAGCAGAGCATAGGATGAGTCAGGAGTGCTCAGGTGAGGCTGTTTTAAGCTAAATGTCAAAGGTTTAACCAGAGAACAAGATGCTGATATATTTGGTGACATCACAATGTGACACTTTGGTTCGGCTAAGAACGTTATGACTCATTTTAAAAAGATAAAAAGAGAAGTAGATAACCATAGAAAGTTAAAATTGGTTATTTGTAGGGAGACACCGTAACCACGCCTCCTAAGGGCTGGCTACAGGTGTGCCCCTACAGTTATACATGCAAAAATCTAAACCACTTGAGAGTCTCATTTAAAAAAACCTTTCCTTGGATTTAGGAGTTACAGAAAACAGCAGACAGAAGATACAGGAATTGTTTTTTATTTTCATTTTGTACAACTCACATAAATGCAAATTTTTCTTATATATAGTTTAAAATTTGGACTTAGCAAATTATCCCTAATGTCTTTATAGCCACTAAAGTGTAGTAATAATATAAATTATATTAGCATGCATCCTTGCTTTTAATTTTATATTATCATAGAAATTTCTTTTTTTAAGTAGGTTAGTTTTTTTAAATATCTATGTGCATTAGTGTTTGGCCTGCATGTATGTCTGTGTGAGAGAGGTGGATCTCCTGGAACTTGAGTACAGACAGTTGTGAGCTGCCATGTGGGTACTGAGAATTGAACCTGGGTTCTCTGAAAGAGCAGCCAGTGCTCTTAACTGCTGAGCCATCATCTCTCCAGCCCCTATCATAGCAACTTCTAAATTGATAAAATTCAATTATATTAAAGAAATTTTATATTTATTATAATAAGTAAAAAATTTAGTTAAGTTTAAGAAAAAACATGGCTAAAGTTGGTTTAGGTCGTGGTGTTGTATCACAGCAATAGGAAACCCTAACTAAGAAGCTGGATCTGGAAGTGGGGTACTGCTATGACAGACCTGACCATGTGCTGGGGAGGACTGAGGAAGGACTTTGGGGCTTTGGGCTGGAAAAGCCACTGGTTGCTCAGAGCTTAATGAGCTGTTATTATGAGAACACAGACGATAATGCTGAGAGCAGCACAGATGACAGGAGCTTCACTTGTGAAGCTTCAGAGGAGAGCACAGACCACCATCAAGGCCACTTATATGATATTTTGAATCCAGAACCACTAAAATAAAACCTTTGTTTTTCTGGGACAATCAATACTGGCCAGCTAGGGCTGAAGAATCAGTGGTGAGTAAGAAGAGACCAGCATGGCTGAGGTGAAATTTGGGCAAGTGTTGTCACACAGAAGTTGTGGTCCAGTGAGGTCTAGAGGAATCAAGGCTGTGCTTTCTGCTGGTGGCTGATCTTGGAATATATGACAGTCTCCCAGGCAGTGCTGGCTTAGAAGGCATGAAAGGGTCATGGATAGCATCTGAGGCTCGGCAGTGAGAGGCCACTAGTGAAGGTGCAATCTCAACCGCAGTACAAACCCTAGTACTGAAGGGGTCACGGAAAGAAGTTGAGGCTTGGTACTATGTGGCAGGTTTAGAATCCTGAAGGGAAACCAGGGAAGGCTTGTGACAAGGGTGCAGCCCAGATGCAGTGGTGACACCAATGTTTTAGAGATGCCAGTGCCGTGGGGTGACCGCCACGGACAGCACCAACTTTGGAATGGAGCTGGCCTGAGCCAAGGAGACAAGCTGCGTGTGTTGTGAATGGGAGAGAAGTGCTGCCACCATGGCTCTTTGGAGCCTAGAGGATTGTGAGTGAGTCTCAGATGTCAATCACTGAACTTTCTGCACTGCTGAATTAGGGTTTTCCTTTGTTCTGACTGTAGCTGTGCCCTGGTTCTTACCTTTTGGAGTAGTAAAAACATTTTACCTATCTTTTATTTTATAAGAGCCCACATGTGAGATTTTGAAATCATGGAGACACTTTGCATATCTGCAGAAACTGAACTTTGAAAGAGACTTTGGATGTCTGAAAGGGACTGAACTTTTTTAGTGTTTCAATTATTAAAGACTGTAGGACTTTCAAAAATGTTTCATATTTTGATATTAATATTACCATGCCATCTTGTCAACAAAGGAAAGGCTCTAGTTGAATAAGCATGTGTTTGTGTGTTGTGCTGACAAGGGAGCAATTGTACCTGCCTTTTTTTTTTTTTTATCAATTTGGAAAGAGGGTCTCTCAATTGAGAAGAATCCTCCACAGGACTGGCCACTAGGCAAGCCTGGAAAGTGTTGTCTTCACTGAGGGTGGGGCCAACTCTGGGCAGGTGGTCCTGGCTGGCATAAGAGAGCAGACTGAGAAAGTGATGAAGAGCAAGCCAGTAATCATTACTCCTCAATAGCCTCTGCATCACATCCTGCCTGAAGGTTTCTGCCTCGACTTCCTTGGATAATGAATTGTAAGCTGTAAGAAAACAAACCATTTTCTCTCCAAGTTGCTTCTGGTTGTGGTGTTTTATAACATCAATAGAAACCCTGAGCAAGACACCCACTAAGACAGTCACATAAAACAGTAGCAGAGAAACACAAAGCTGCAGTGACACCCAGCTTTATGGTTATTATACTACAATAATGGAAAGGATGAGTAATGCTACGGGCAGGAGAGGATACAGACTGGTCATGGTCTTCCTACATTTCCAGGGATGTTCTGGAAAGTTCTCCAGCATTCCTTTATCTAATGTATTGTCTGCACATCCTAGGATATAGCAGTTTTGTCATTTAAGGTAAATCTTAAAGAAATTCTCACTCAGGTCTGGGAGATGCACACCTGTAAAGATGGACACTGAAGCATGATTCATGGTGACAAGAGCCATGAAGCTATTTGGTGTGATCATTGAGGCTCCTTACTATTCCTGAACATGCACAAGTACAATAGAGCAGATACATGTCATGAAATACAATAGTCAGAAGCCCCAGATTAGCTATAGACCTAAAAGACACAGGCAGAACTTGAGACATAATGCTATACAAAGAGCAAAAGACTAAGTACAGAATAACATTTTATAAATAATAAATCATACAGGCAAAACAAAGAGCATTTTAAAACAGTTCTTGAAATTATATTTACTTATTTGTGTGTGTGTGTGTGTGTGTGTGTGTGTGTGTGTCTGTGTGTGTGTCTCTGTGTGTGTGTGTGTGTGTGTGGAATCCATGGAGGCTAGAAGAGGGAGTTGGATCCCTTGGGGCTGGACTTAAGGGTAGTTGTGACTGCCTGAAATGGTGCTAGGAACTATATTGAGGTCTTCTGGAAGAACAGCATGTACTTTGAACATCTGAGCCATAACGAAATAAAACAAAAAATACTTGAGAAAAATAAACTAATAGGAGACACAGATCAAACACAATAGGTGATGAAGAGAATGACTAACTCAGAAAAACTATGAAAGGATCTTTGTAAAAAATGAGGATTATGTGTCTTGAATAAAGGGTACATACGCCAGACTCTGCCATCAAAACTGAGACTTGAAAATGGTTGTAAATGCAACTTTTTTTCAGTCACACCTCTGGGATTATAATGAAACTCAGAGGCAGCCATATCTGAGAGATACTGAGTTTCTCCCTTGAGAGTGGCTTTAATTTAACTTAAAAGGATAAGTAATTACTTATGTACACTGCCAAGACAACACTTGAAGCTGCATAGGACATGCCTCTTTGGTATATTTGCCCTGGCACAAAGACCTTGATATCAGAGAACCCTCTTTCACTGTTTAAGTAACATTGGAGATTTCTCTACTATAGTTTCATACTAAGAGGTCTACATTTGATTCTGCTGTTCCATCTATGCTTCCCAACTCAACCAATGAGGTATGTGTTTGGTTGTGACCAAAGACAAAGAAGACAGTTAATGGAATAGATGGCATTATTAGTAATTTTATCAATTTGTAAAGAACTCCAAGAGCTAGATAATATCTAATTTATTTCATGGACAAATCAAGGTAGCAAGGAGGGATTTCATATTTGATCCATCATGAGCCCACTTACCTTCTCCCCTTTCAGAAACGTAATCCGTGAAGAGTCTGCATTTCTTCTCTCCTCAAAGTCCTCCATGACCTGAGCTGAGTGGCTCTGAGTGTAGCACCTCACTGATGACTCATAGCTCAGGTCCCCACTCCGGATGATAGGAACGTGCAGGACACCCTCTTTCTCCTTCACTAGAAGCAAATCCTTGGCAAACTGCATGCTGGGAACTGGGCAAGGGATGGGGAGATGGGGGCCTTGTCAGTGGGAGACAGAAGACGCAGCAACCACAGTGGTGCTCCACCAAAGACCAACACAGGATGGCAAAGCACAAATGCTAAGGGGACCTCAAGCATGGATGCTGTTCCTATGACACAATCACCACTGCTATAATGACTGTGATTCCAGTGACCTACACTAAGTTGACATTGTACCCATCTTTTCCCAGTGGCAGAATGCAGTGACTACCTCCAGTACAAATAGGTAACACACACAAAGACAATATGATGATGGTGTGATGATATCAGAGAACCCTCTTTCACTGTTTAAGTGGATACAACAAGGAAAAAAGAAACTAGGCTGATGACAATTTTAGGCCCTTCATATAGGTCCTGGGGTCAGGGAGACACCAGAGAAGAGTAATGATGCTAGCAATGAAAAAACAAAACAGGCTTGATCCATTTAAAAGGCTTTGTTTTTGTGTGTTTGTTTTTGTTGTTGTGGTTGCCAGATGTTACTTAAAAATTAAGCCTGAGATCTACATTTTTCTCCTAAGCTAATAATAACAACAGTAAATAAAATACTACAAAGAAATTCCATATAGGTCCAACTTATTTGAACCAAACAAAATATACGTTGTAATTGACCTGTGACTAGTGCTAAGGACTTAGCTGCTCTCTGGAACGAAGGAATTGTTGGAAACAAAGGAATTGTAGGAAACAGGTTTGACCTTCCATACCAGCTTCATGACAAGGTAAACTACTTAGAATTTCTGAATGTTGGGTTTTTAAACATGCAAAGCAAAAAAATGAGCATCTCATGGGATAGTTGAGAGGACTGGTATTCAGTCATGATACTCAGAGTGTAGCTCAAGATTCATAGGAGTCAGTCAAATATGGAAGGATGAATATATTTTGGTTTACAAGTGCCCCCAGCTTCATGGTTCTTCATTCAGGGAACCATGTCTCTCTCTGCCACCTCAGTGCCCATGGTGATGCTCCACATTAAGACATTTCCCCAAGCCCAGCATTTGGTTGGCTGCTGGTCATTAATTTCTCCATGAACAGTGCAAGGAGTCAGATGTCAAAGCCTCCTGAGACACGTTTTGTATTCAGAATTGAAGGAAAGCAACCCTAATGCTACCACCAGTCCCTTCTTGGCTGCGTTCTATGTGTGCCCTCCCAAACCTAAAAGGAAGGGGTGTTGCAAGCAGCTTGCCATGTTCATACCTAGAAAGTTCTGTTTGCCTTTAGTTGACTCTGTCTGACTTAAAGGGATAGATATAGCAAGGATAAACCCATCCTATTGTCAGAATCAAGCCTATCGATGGTGACCTCACAAAAAGACAAAAAACACCTCCTCAAACAATACTACTCCTAAGTGAAAATTAGTGACTGAATCTTAACCATGTAGGGGTCTGCCATCCAGTGCAAGGCGCTCAACACCAGCAGTGGTGTGTTGCCAAGGGGAGAACGAAACAAGCAAGGAAGCTGAACTCTTCTTGGCATGTATCAAAAGCTTCAGATGGGTTCTGTGGCTGGCCTGGCATGCCTCGAGCCAGGTGAGAAAGTTCGGGGATGAAGTGGTAATATTTTCTCATGCATTAATCAACCCATATTCCCCCCGAGCTGTAAACACTCCTCTCTCCCCATCTGTGACAACACATTCACTGTCACTTCTAGCCCTACCTGTCGGGGGTTGGAGGGATGGACACTTCTGACTGCATAGAGAAGAAAAAAAACCTCCTTGTCTTTCAGAAAGCCCCAGTCACAGGAGGTTGGCAAGAGACAATGCAAGACAGCAAGGTGAATGCAGAACAGGCTGTGTGTGGTGCTGGCAGTGTAGGTCATGTTTTGTGTTTAGGACTCTCATACATATTGATGCCATCTGTCAACCGCTTTTCAGAGCAATGCAGTCCTAGGAAGAGGCAGCAGTGACCAGGAGGAAAGGCTTTCCAGGATTACAGGGGCCCTCTCTTTGTACTGATGGGGTGCATAGATGCAAAAGAGGCTATTCTCCAAAGACACATGGACTTGCAATGGGTAAATGCATTTATCATTGAGCAGCTCTCTTTGCACATTTGTTGTACATGATCAACATATTTATTTGCATATGTCTTGGATCCAGAAATAAAACACAGGAGGACTCTGTTCTCTGTTACTGATACAATACTGAGCAACAACATATCCAGGCACACAAAATGTTTTATAGATGCTATTATTCTGCTCATTTTTGGTCACTGACAAAGTGAATGCAATAACAATGCCTGGTGTGTCGTGGCCTCTTTTCAGGCAATGGTGAAGTCAGAGAGTTAACAGAAATCCCACCTCTGATTCTTTGTACTACTCAGTTGTATGTATAGGAGTACAGTGATGTCAGTGGCTACAGTATCTTTCTTTTCTGCTAGTAATACTCATATGCACATTAGAATCTAATTTCAGAAGAGGTAAAAAAAATAAGAAAAAGTTCTGAGATGAATTCCTTAGACTATTTAGGGTCCTGAACTCAGCACAGTGGAAAAAGATGGAAGTACCTGGGATTACATCAGAAATGTGAGCGACTGCATCTGCAAGGTAAAAACTGACTTTATAAGCAGACATTGCCACCAGGATTGCAGATGCCAGCTAAAACTGCATGAGGAAAGTCAGCAAGGCAGGATATGGAACCAGAAGACTGAACAGGATGGATTAGATCTGAGTTTTGTCTCCACCTCCATCATCTCCTCACACAGCCTTACACAAACTATTCAAATCTCAGTGTCGCAACTTGAATGGCTACTGCAAAGGTCAGATATAATGTGTGTAAAATCTCTATACCCAAAAGTGTATGCATTGAATGACCTCAACAAAAACCAGTGATCATGAGGAAGAGTGGTGACCAACATAAGAAAATACTGTTGATGACAACAAATCACTAAAGTGAGCTTGGGGATTTCTTTTCTGGGGTAAATTCTTCACATAAAATATACCTAGTAGTCTTCCAAATAGATCAGAAACTTTGTTTTTGTATACCAAATACCTGAGATTGCAACTCCAACACTTGCCAATAAAATATTGGAGGAAATCAAAAGACTTATCAGAGTTCCTCAGAGTGCAATGAAGATTGTGTGGGCTGCTGGAGTCTGACCGGTTCATATGATAAATTATAGACATGCCAAGAATAAATTGATGTGCAATAAAATCTACTGTGTGCTGGATTACAGAATTTATCTAGATGACATTCTGGGAGAAGCAAAACCTCAGGGACAGAAAGCAGATACAGGGTTTCTAGGGCTTCAGTTAGGGGACAGACTGCTTACAAAGGGCATGAGTAAATCCTACAGGGTATGGGGGCTGCTCAGTATCTTTGTCATGGTGACAAGTGAATCACTGTCTATTTTCAGAGCCTGTAAGACTCTTTTACTCTCCTAGTGCACATTTTTTAATTTATGTAAGTTATCCCTTAATGATTTGTTACAGATATATATGTAGATACATATATGTACACAAATACACATGTACACACATATAAATACACACACATACATATACACATGTCTTATGAACAATGCACAAAAATGATTGTTTCCAGTTGGGGGGGCATAGATAATTGAGAGATAGGGGTATAAGGAAGATTAAAATTTCTTAGTGTGTCTTTTGCCATTTGCAGTTTTTACTATTATATCCATGATTTCTTAAGGATGAGTAAAAGCATTAAACATTATCCTGTGGCTTGTCTCTTCCTATTTTAGTAGATGGTCAGCCACAGGGGCTGCTGATGACAGTCTTTTTGCCTCACGTGGAAAGTATGACTTGATCTCCAACCTCTGCACCCATAAATGGACCAGATGTTCTGAAAATGCTTATTTCCTTCTCTCCTTCCCAAGAAGTAGCTTTCATGTTCATCCTCATTTACATACATTATGTCTTCAGTGATGACCGTATTTTGGTCATATACTGCTTCTATTCACTTGTGCAGACCATTTTTACTACCGACAATACTACTTTCCAAAACAAAACAACCTTGCACCACTCCTGCTAATAATCACATATTGCTCTCCTTGAAAAGCCCTTTGTCCTGGACAGAGGGCCCCATAGGACCTGACCCACTGCCACTTCCCGTTCATACCCCTACTCACCTGTTCAAAGAGGAAGGCAGAATTCCAGTTCCCCAAATGTACATCTTTCAATATTTCACGTTTGTCTATACCTACCTCTCTATTTACAACAGGCTTTCCTTTACCATCCATGGCTGAAGTCCAATCAGACCTGAAGATGCATTTGTAAAAGCTGCCACATCATACACCAAACTTCTTGAATAATAGGCCTAATGCTTACACTAATGCACCCGGCAGAGTATTGGCAACATAAGTGGTTGTCTCCTGCACGTCTATGCAAGTCACACGAATTTGTGCATGGATATATATACAAACAGATCGCATGAATGAAAACATGAATGAGATTTAATGTATCATGCATGGAAGTTAAGAAAATACAGAAATATACTTTAAACCAGCAGTAGGTATTCCCAATCTCTTACCGTCTTGGAATGTGTCATTTATCGCAATGACAGCCTGAAAGGGTTTGGTCAGTTCAGCTCCTTGTGCTGAGCTGAGGAAAACCACAAATGTCTCCAGTCCTTCAATTACTGGGTATTGCGTATCATCCAAGATAGTCAAGGTACAGTACTGCAGGAGAGATCAAAGCAAACTTCAGAGAAGGTTCAATACCCGGCACTGGCATCTTTCTTTGTGGTCATAAAGTGAGTGTATTTTTATTTAAATTCAATCTCATTCTTACATTTTCTATTCTAAGCTTGCATTGTTGGATACTTGATGGTGAAGAAGATCCTTTCACGAATTTGTGCTCATGTTTCCATATATTTTATATTTGCTTATCGTGTGTGCGCACGTGTGTGCGTGCATGTGTCTGTCTGTCTGTCTGTTTGTCTCTCTCTGTGTGTGTATTTGTGCCATGGTACAAGTGAAGATCAGAAGACAACGTTCCTTCTACCATGTGAGCTCTGGGGATCAAACTCAGGCCATAAGTGTTAGAGGTGAGAGCCACCTTGCCAGCCTTCATTTGTATGTATTTGCAAAGAAAATAAGGACTGAAATGTAGGGCATTTAATATTTTGAAGTGGCTCAGAAAGCAGGCAGAAACTGCACTAGAGACATTGCACAGAAGGAGTATAAAGTGGAAGTCTCCATTGGGTCCCTCCCCTTGGAGCTAGAGGAATCCCACAGAAAGGATGAGGAAAGACTGTAGGAGTCTGAGGGGATAGAGGACACCAGGAGAACATGGCAACTGAATTAACTAAGCAGAGATGAAGGGACAAGCATGGATTTGCATGGGTCTGCACCATGTCTTCTGCATACATGTTGTGTCTGTGAGCTTGGGGGTTTTGTGGGACTCCTAAACATGGGAGCAGGTGTATTCCTCACTTTTGCCTGCTCCTGGAACTCTTTTCCTCCAGTTACACCTTGTGCAGTTTTTGTGTGCAAGATTTTGCCTTGTCTTATTGTATTTTGTTTTGTTGTGTTTGGTTGTTGTCTCTTGGAGGCCTGCTCTTTTCTGATGGGAGACAAAGGGGGAGTGGATCTGGGGGAGAAGGAAGGTGGGGGGCTGAGCTAGGAGAAGTAGAGAGAAGGCAACTGTGGTCAGGATATATTGTATGAGGGAAGAATCTATTTTTAAGGGAGGGTGGCAATGAACTACACTGGCAACAATGAGAGTTTTGACACTGAGGTGCTTTGGCTGCTGTGGGCTTACCTGTTCGGTGACACCTGGTCCAAATTCCACCTTCCTTGAGCTAGGGACATAGTCAACTCCTGGAGTGGCAGAAGCTGGATCTGAGGGTCGTGTTGCACACCAGACAGATGTGAAGGTAGTAAGATCAGTCCCATGGCGGATAACTGGAATTTTCACTGTGCCTGGATTAAGATAATAGTGATGTTTTTTTTTTTTAATGTCCAACCTTGAGCCAAAAAATCAGAGAGCATCTCAGAATACTCATCTCCCAGCACAACACTGGTGGCTCTCCCACTCAGTTTTTCTAATCCAACCTTAGCGATGCTCTTCCATCCTTCTGAACATGGCCAAGAGCTGCTATTGTTCCCTTTCCCTGACCCCAAGGTCAAGAGGAGATTCCCAGGAGGGTCTCAAGGTGGTGGCACTGAAAAAAACAGCCCTTGGGAGGAGCAGGTTTCATATGAACCTGAAGGGTGACCTGCCACCAAAACAACAAGCCTACTTAAGGAGACAAAAACCCTAAGATGAGAGTCTCAGCTATAAAAGTCACTATTGAGCTCAGGGGGCCTGGAGCTGCCATGTTCTTAATGAAATATTATAATTGGGTTGGTTTTCTTATTTTACCCAGCAATGCACACATCATTATTTCAGCCATATATAGGCTTATTATCTTAGGAACGAACCTCATCTTTTGGGCTCATCATATTTGTAGTATCCCAAGGACATTTAACTTTTCCCATAACCAGAGATTGAGAACCCCACCAAACACCATATTCTCAATATACCCCACAAAGCTGCATAATCGAGTTTTTACATGAGATTTGTTTTTTCAGACTTATTTACTTGTTTTCACTTTAACTGTATGGATGTTTTGCCTACATGTATGTATGTGCTGGTATCCGTGGGGGCCAGAAAAGGGTGCTGGATCCCCTGGAACTGGAGCATCCAAACCCATGTCCTCTGTAAGAGCAGCAAGTATCCTTAAACATGGAGTCCCCTCCCCAGCCTCTAGCGGAATAAACTCAGATAATTTGTTTAACTTCTCTGGGCCTCAATCTGCTTTCCTATAGATATTATCTGATCCATTGAAGATGGAGTAAGAATGCACAGAGCACACAGGATATCATGCATGGCATTTAGTACGTGTTAAAAAATATTGGTCCTGAGAACTGGGAAGGTGGCTCAGTGGTGAAGAGAGCTTGCTGCTCTCACAGAGGATCTGATGTCACCTCTGGCCTCCGAGGGACCCGCATACCCATGTATGCATTGTGTGCATGCATGTGTGAGCAAGCATGTGCATGAAAACACACACACACACACACACACACACTAAATCTTTAAAAGGTGTTAGCTCCTAGCACACCCCAGATTCCTTTCAAAGAATTAGAAGACCTTGATCTTCAATATAATTGCTGTCTTTCTTTGTGAGTGGCACATGATAGACTTTAAGACCCTTAAGAGCCACAAGAAGGAAGGGGCCTAGGCTCTAAACCAGCATAGAGAAGAGACTTAACACTGACTTCTTCGGGCTGACATATAAATGATAATGCTCCATATGAATGACACTGCAAGTTGGATGTTCATTTCAGCAGCTCACAGTGTATTAAATAACTATCTACATCCTCAATGGATAACAACGTTCCACTTCACAAGCCACAGTGCTTAGTACTGTACCATCCCTCTGGGCTACAGAGTCAGACCATGAAGCTCCAAGCCAGGTTACCTCTCTGCCATTAACCACAAGAGCAAGCAAAGTGGATAGAACTCTATTTCACTACTTTCCATTTCTGGTCTTGATGCCTGGCAACACGCAATGCTCAAGACCAACAACAGTGCCACGAAGGAATGACATTTTCCCTGTCTCAAGGACACTGTCAAGCAGTAATCTAGATTGGGATGAAAGATCAAGAGATGGTCCCTACAAATTTAGAGAGACTGTTAATTACCTGCATCCTCACTGATCGTGAAAGCTGTGTTGCCCAGGGAGACAGTCGAGGCATCATTGGGACCACTAATGAGCACCTTGGCCACTGCCAGCCTTCCAATTCGGGCATTATCAGAAGAATCAGCCAGGGCAATCTCAAACTCCTCTTCCTCTTCATACTCGCTGTCATCAATGATCATGACATCACACGTAGACATGGTGATACCAGGTCCAAATATCACACGACTCTCAGGAGACCTCCCTCTGGACTTAAAATCAGAACCTGATTCCAGAGCATACAGACTACTTCCCATAGCCGATTTAGGGACTGTGTAGCAAATGGCAGACACAATGCTGCTTGAGTCTCCTGCAACATACAGGTGAGAGAGTCAGAGTGTGTGAACAAGTGCTTCTCAAATTTTAACATTTCTAGTAACTTAATGAGCTTTTCCCTCTGACACATTCCATCACTATTTCTGCTCCAAACTCTGACAGGCAACCTTCCTGAACTGCAATTTCTATTAAGCCTGTGGTATAAACCGCTTGAGGATTTAATATACCCCAGATACTTCCCCAAATAACTTAAAATGGATTTCCTATTCTGTAAATTTTGTGCTCTGTTAATTCACAAGACTCATTGCCCACCATCTAAGACCACAGCGGGTGGGAAGATAAGAGGCATATTTGGTGCTTTAAGTAGGGAAGTAATTGTGTCCTGAAGGAAGGGAGAGGAGAACAGTTCACTGCCTCTCAGGAGAAGCTTCTGCACTTCAATTCCCTGAGAGAAACAAGCTTGTTTAAAGAAGGAAAGACGAAACAACACAAAACAATATAAAATAATATAAAAATACAAACTCACTCATTAGTGCTGTCACATCCCTTGGCAACAGCCTGCTGTAAGCCTGGTGTGGTGGCCCAGAGCAATCAATGGGGCTTGTCTGTCCTCCAAGTGGTATTTACTAAGGTTTTGTGCTACCCACAGTATTTATTTCACTAATACCCAGTCAGCAGATTCAATACTGAGAGCCGACATCATCATTTGCATTCGTGTGGCCTTGAAAGGGAATTTCATCCCTATGCACTTGAGAATGTAGGAACTGCACAATCATAAACCCATAAATGCTTTGTTTTTGAATGCCCAGCTTTCAAAATTGCCCTTTATGTTCCAAAGGGAGTATATTTTTCATCTGAACATTATACTTAACATCCAGGTAGGGAAATATTTTCTGCCTCCCAGAACCTGAGATTTGCACAAACATAACCTCTCTCCTTGACCACAGTTGGTAAATATTTTATGGAATGGATGATTGATTAAGAAGATTAAGTTAATGAATAATGCAAGGCTAAATATAACTAGTCTTTACTTGGCCTTTAAGAACAGATGAGGCTCAACTACATGCCTAAGAAGGAAAGCTTTCTGATTATGCTCCATACAAGAGAACTCAACATTACAGTTGTGCTGCGGATTCGATGGGTTAATATACGGAAAAAAAATAAACACAGGAGCTAAGGTGAAACTAGTCATACAGAAGAGGCTCAACAGAGAGTAGTTATTATCATAGCTCCTAGTATTTGTGGCAACAACAGACCTTTTCTTTCAATGGGTGCAAACAGAAAACCAGCGCTCTCATTGACCCGGTAGGTCTTCTTATCAAACTCCAGTGTGGGCTCATCCTCAGTGTCACTGATGACAACCTTTGCCTGGGTGAACTCTCCGAGCAGGGCGTAGGCTGGCATGCTGAGCTCCACGGTGAAACTTTCAACACTCTCAAATACATCATCATCATTGATGACAATGGTGCAGGACTTTGTGTCCTCTCGTTCATCAAACTGCACCTGTCACAAAGAAACAAAAGGAATTTGAATGTGACTTCCCCAGTTTGGTTTCTCAGGAGGACTTTGAGAAAAGGGCACCCAACTTGATTTGGCAAAGAACTGCATGAAACCTTTGGGTTCCTCTATCCACAACTCCCCTCTGTCCCACCCACACAGCCCAGACACCTCTCCCTGTTCTTTGTGTGCAATCGGGGCTTGTTTATTGTATAAGAACATGGAAGGCAAACAGACACTTTACCACTGGTGACTAGAAAAATGGGTGGCATTTATTTGTGTTCTTTTTGCTAAAAATTATCATTTGGTTGCTCAGTGCTCCTTGCAGTTGGGGACAAGCTTAACCAGAAAGAGATCCAATTTTAAGGTACCAAGTTTGAGTTTCAGGTGCTGTTTGCCCCCCCCCCCAGATAAAGTCATGACAGTTTGTGAACATCGGGTACTTAATTCATAATAACAGTTCTTCTACACTAACTATCATTAGGAAGACTAAAGAAAACTCTATGGTGGCATTGTTAAGATATTTTAAAGCACTATGCAGATATATCACCACTGCCATGATTACATCATGCATATAATTAAAGATTAACAAGAGAATCTTGTACTGAATAATTGAGTTTTAATTCATAAAATGTCACCTAACACACTAGGCTTGTCTTTTGCCATAAAATGGGCTAGGACGATGAGTGAATTTAGCAAGTACAATACAGAGAATTTATTTTGTGTCCACATAACTGTAAATGTAACATACCCTTGTCTAAAAAGCAGAATTAATGAATGAAAAAGAGAAAGGAGTACAAGAGACAGAAAAACAGACAGGGGAATGAATAAAATGAGGACAAACCCTTTAAATACAACCAGAGATAGGCACTGTCCAAATTGGAGGAGTGGGACATGAGTCTGGCCTGATGTTTGTGTAAACTGAGGCAGTTAAAACAAGAATGAGTATAGGAACTAGTCAGAAGTCTCTAAGGGCACCCAAATCTGAAAAAAATGCATAATTTAAATCAGTCAAAATTACTAGTGCATGCCAAATCAATTGATCAAACTGTGTTGTTGCTAATCTCTGTGTTTCAAAATGCCCTCAAGAAAACAAAACACTCATTAGATTTCTGTTTAAGATCTGGAACACACTGACAGACCTTTATCTTTTCCTGAAAAATGTGACATCTCTTTGCTGAAGACACCTTGTCCTCTCTGGTCTTATTTATGTCCTTATTGACATAAAATGCTTTCACTTAGTCTAGCTGATGCTGAACTTCGTGAAAGGACATGGCCCACTTTGCTTAACAGAGATTTAACTTCTAAAATGAAGTTGACTTGAAAAAATGGAATAAATTAAGTACAAGCGCTGTATCCTGTAGGAGAAAAGGAGCTAATTATCCACCTCTATCCCCAACTCATGCTAAGTAGGTACTCACCATTGACTTGTACCACTTACCCACAAAACCCCTCATTCCTCCCTCTCTCTTTTCTTTCTCATTACAACCCTGAAGGTAAAAGAGATGACTTGGAAATTTCTCTGTAGCCCAGGCCTAAGCCAACTGACACTCAACATGCCTTAGACAAAAATCCCAGCATGAAACATTGTCAAACTTGTTCTTCTTGGCTTATCCTCTCATAGCCATGCCTACCTTCTGGCCCTCTCTGCAGCCCACTGCTCAATCCTGTTAAATTTACTATTTGAAGCCCCCCCCCCAATCTCATCATCTCTCGATTCTCCTATCCCAAGACTCTCTAAGTGGTTTCTTCATATACCCTCTTCCATACCTCCAGAGAGAGAGAGGAGAGGGGAAGAGGGAGGACACCCAGAGCTGAACAGACATAATACCTTGATGGGGTCTTGTCATGAAGCAAAATGTAAACATCTAGAAGCCAGATGACAACTTAAGCCCTGGCAGATACTTCAGGTGAGAGCAGCCAGACTGAAGAACAAAGTGTTATAGGAAGGGAATATCAGGGGGAGGTGGGTGGGAAGGGAGAGGATACCACCACAAACTGCAACCATGATGAGGAAAAAGTGGTTCTCTCCACACCTACCTGGCCAGCGTACTCCATGTAGTCTTGCTGTCCAGGATGAGAGCTGACTCTAGAGCTGGAGCTGGCTGTGCCTTGTTCGGTGCGACACAGGACGATGGCATACTGGTTCAGGTTCCCAGTCCTCTGCACTGTGACACTGACAGACCCTGCCTTCTCACTGACGTTATAGCTAGGGGCACACAAACATCGGGCTCTAGAAATCTGTCTTGGGACTATGAAAAGGAGCTATAAACTTTAGAATTCAGAGGATGGGGAGGTGACAAACAACTTCTCCCAAGTGGGCAGAGCAATCACAAGAGGCCAGGGGGTTCTTAGGATAAAATTGAGTGGAAGGTTGTTAGGGACAGCTTCAGTAGAAACTCACTGAGTCAGATCTGTAGGATCTGTGCATTTGAGCTGGGTGGTGTCTGGGCCTGAGCCCAGAGCACAAGCTTCCTAGACAGAGTTTTATGATGTATAAGCCTGGGGAGGGGTCTCAGCCCAACACTGGGATTTGTACTGGGTGTGCAAAGGGGCCAGTCCTTAAGACCTTAATTCATAGTGTGGAGGCTTGGAAAAGCCACAGGAGAACAGCAGTGAACTAGGCTTCGAATTTCATCAATGAGTTCAGCCGTTCAACCTACTGTGTGCCTCACTGATTTGAGTGTTTTTGTCACAATGCCCCTGAGAGAGTAGACCCCACTGTCAGTTCACTGTGCAACTCAGACCATTAGAGTTAGAGGCTTGACAACAAAAAGGGACACCTTTTATTCAACTTGCTTAAGATCAGGAGGGGATTAAAAGCAAATTTCAAAGAATTACATATTTTACAGTTGATTCTAACTATTCTGAGTATGTCCAAGACTGGGGAAGTTATGTCTGGGGCTCCTGGAAGCAAGTTCAGTTGTCCTATCCACATCAGAACTGCCAAGAAATTGATGTCTTAGAATAGTGACTCTCTGAAATGCTAATTAAAAAATAGTTCACTGTAGAATAATAACCCTTGTTATAATAATAACCCTAGTTTAACTTAGAAAATCATCAGCATGTCTGTCCATCACCATTATCAAATGATAACTCCTGGATTCCCTCTATAACTCTCCAATAGAAGAGCAAAATATCTCAATCTAAATATGTGATAGACAATTCTGTAATATTCAGAGAAACCTTGGAAAACCCCAACCTGAAGATCTCTTTTCTATGTTTTTCCTAAATTCTATTGGACTATCTTCTATAACTTGAAGATGGAAGCAAAAGTATTTAAGGGAAGCATTGAAGGAGAATGGTTAAGATTAGTGGGCTTGGAGCTGGAGAGATGGCTCAGTGCTTAAAACATTGGCTACTTTTCTAGAGGAGCCAGGTTCAACTCCTAGCACCCACATGGCAGCTTACAACTGGCTGTAACTCCAGTTCCTGGGTGTCTGACATCCTTACAGAGACACACATGTAGGCAAAACACTAATCATATGTTCATAATAAATAAATAAATAATTTTTTTAAAGATTACTGGTTTTAAGATCTTGTCTTACTGTTTGCAAGATACTTAGCCTCTTCCCATCTCTATTGATTTGCTACTGTAGGGGTGGGAAGAGAATCTCATAATTGCAAGTTGTAAGCAAGTTGAGTTATGTTGAGAACATACCACCATACCTGGTACATACAGTATATCATCCAATAAATATTTCATGCAATTATTTTAATGATTGTTATCACTAGACTCACAACCGCCACAACTGCCACCACCACCACCACCACGACCATCACTACCATTATCATCAACAATAAGAGACCTGCCTTCTATAGTATTTCATCCTAATTTCCTCTACTTGCTTGATTCATTTCTCAAAACACAGTACACAGTAAAAATTGTACCTGGTATATTTGAAGCTGATGAGAGACCACTGGATATGGAAGATATTGTTGCTGACCACGTTGGGTTTACTGTCTTTCACCAGAAACTGAAAACTATCCATTACTTTCTGGATCTTCTCCTCATGCAACACATAACGAATCAACCCCAAGTTCACATCCTCTGTGAGAAAAAGAGAGAGAGCTCCAGAATCTAATGTGAAGACACTCTCATAGCTCCCAGATCAACATATTGACTCTAGTCTTCTAATGGGCTAGAGGAACTCATTTTCAAAACTATAGAAAGCATAGTAGTCTTAAAAACAAATGATTCTTCCTAGATTTAAAGCAAGAACCTGCAATTTCGTGTACAAATACCTATCTTGCAGAAAGCCCCTTAAAGCTTGTGGAAAAGGAGGGTCTTGGGGTCTGGACAGAAAGTGCCCCAGAGAGTGTCTATGGAGTGTTGAAGGGCAAATTTGAAAGGTGACAGAGATGACCTCATCCTCTATGCAGAAAGGTGTGAGCTGATAGGAAAAGCTGGGCTGACATCAGCAACTCATACACAAGACACAGCTGTGCATGACTGAGAACAGGGTGGGAAGGGAACACAGAGCATGGACCTTAAGAAGCACTGTCACAGTGAGAGCCCAGTCACAGCCATCCCCAAAGAGCAGGAGTGACAAGCTTCCACAAAACTACAAAACCACTTGCTTTGTGTTACTCAAAAAGGAAAATATTTCTTCTAAGCAACTTATACACTTATAAAGCAGACTTTAACTTCTTGGCTGAAGATGTTAAAAAATAAATGCCATCACCCTTAGAGAATAAAACAATAAACTTCTTAAGATCACAAATCTTTCAGTCTGGCAGCCACTCTGTTGTCTTATAAGAAAACCAAGCAGTCCCATATGTCATTTGCAGAAAACCTAGAAACCCAAGAGCAGGAGGCATGATGAAGATGATGTTCAGAATGACAGGAAGAAATCTGGGAAGAGTAAAATGTGCAAGGTGGTAGTTAGACACTAGATGATCCATTTGTAAAAGCAGCTGGAAGTGACCGGCAGACATGGGAGAGCCCATCTGAGCACGTCCCCTTTCCTGGTTCCTCAGAACCCACCCTGGGTGAAGGTGGCTGCAGCTCTTCCTGGTTGCAGCTTGTTCTCCACATAGCCGTGCATGGGGCCCACGGTGACCTCATAGACAAGCTGTGAGTCCTCTGTGTCTGGGTCCATGGTCAGCAGTTCCTTCTTGGTGATCAGGTTGGTTGCCTGGAATAGAAACCCATTAAATTTAATTCCTGGGGTGGGAATTAAGCTGGAGCAAGACCCTTAGACTCAGATTTAATTCAGTTCCACAATGATTTACTTCGAGCATTTACTGCACAGAACAGTCTGTTTCTGTTAGGATGGAAGAGGCAGTGAGAATGGTAACTATGCCAGCCTCTGCTCTGGAGGTTTTCAAAGAACGGCTCCTGAGCAAGGTCAGGGGGGCAAGAGCCTTGTGGAAATAAGCAAGAGATTTCAGTTTGGGTTTGAAAGAGAATTGGGACCTGGGAGGAAAGATATAGTAGCTAAGCCTTATACCTTAGAAGAATGGCTGAAAATCCTGAGGTTGATTAGGATAAGTATACTGTACCCTGACTTTGCTCAAATATACTAGCCAAACTTAATTTCTTTTGCCATTTACTCAGTCAACACTGAGTGAGATCCAAAGCCCATGGAAAGAAAGAGTGGGGAGTAATAAAGTATGTTAGTAGGTTTAATCAGATAAGGGCAGGGCCTTAACTTTTAGATTTCATAAAGTAGAAGTCATTATACATTTATTTATCCAGACATTGTCTTATTAAGCAGGCTTCTAACTGGAGTCCTTCTAGATCAGCCTCCCAAGTGCTCAGATTCTGAATATTGAGAGAAAAATCAGAGTGTAAAAAAAGTATTTACACTGGTGTGTGTGTGTGTGTGTGTGTGTGTGTGTGTGTGTGTGTGTGTGTGTGTGTGTGTGTGTCTGTCAGTGTGGAGGCCAGAGATTCATGTTAGGTGTCTTTTCTGATTGTTCTCCATCTTGTTTTGTGGAATAATCTTTTGCTGAACCTGGACTAGTTAGGCTAAGGATGGCTTTCCACAGAGCTCCAGAGATCTGCTTGCCTCTGTGCTTCCAGCACTGAGGTTTTATGCATGCACCAGTGTGTCCAACATTTTACATGGCAACCAGGAATCTTAACTTGTATCCTCATGCTCTTTATTGACTAAGCCTTTTATTCAACCCCACTGTATTCATTTCAAGAAACACAACAGTTCAATAGCTAAGCACCTGTCCATCTCATCAGCTCCTCAAGGATGAAAAAGACATGGCATGGGATGAACATCACTGATCAAAGTTCTGAAATGGGAGGAAGAGATGAACACGTGCTGATGTTGATTCGGGGTTAGTGCTGAGTTGCTACCATTTCCAAATGATGAGATAGACCCTCAAAGGACCTTCTCGGAACTGGGATATGGAGGAGGAGGTCCCTCAAGGAGGACTCCTCTGAGGATAATTGCCAACAAAGAGATCTGCTCCATTGTATCTAGGGCAAGCATTTAATGTCCCTTAGAGTCCATTCTCTCCTCTTAGAAGTTTAGCAGTTTTAGCTGAGCTCCTGCCTTCCCAACTGGAGACACAATTTCCCAGCCTCCCATGGAAACATCTATGCTCATCTGACCAAATTCTTGCCAACAGAATATAAGTGGAAATGACACATTCAATTTCTGTCCCTCCTGTTTAAAATGAAGTCCCTCACTTTCTGGACTTTCTGATGAAATGTGCTGTGTATTCAACAGCAGAAACTCCTCAGAAATAGGTGGCACCATCACTGTGAACACCCTGAAGCTATGAGGCAGCAGGTTCAGTCCTGGCCCAACACTTTCCCATCACATACACTGATAAAGGATGTCTTTCTGTATACATGTTTCTCTTATTGGTTGATGAATTAAACACTGATTGGCCAGTAGCCAGGCAGAAAGTATAGGCAGGGCTAGCAGACAAGGAGATTTCTGGGGAGAGGACACAGAAAGTGAGCCACTGGGTAGATGGCATGTAGCCATCAAAGGAGTAACAGTATTGGACATTCTCCAGTAAGCAAAGACCATGTGGAAACCCATAGATTATTAGAAGTGGGTTAATAATTAAGAGAGAGCTGGCCAATAAGAAGCCTGAGCCATTAGCCAAACAGTTTATAATTAATATAAGCCTCAGTGTATTTATTTGGGGCTAAACAGCTGTGGGACTGGGTGGGACAGACACTCCATCTATACATGTCTCTTTTGTTTGACCTGCTATTCTTGGGGGGATCTTTTTGTAGGGTTGTAGGATTATATTAAACTATAATGAGCTAACAGATGCTATTAATCTAATCAGTGATGAATCTTTTGGGTTTTGGGTTCTCCCATCTTAGGAAAGTCAGGTCATAAGAGGATGGTGGGTGAGCTGCTATTCTATTCCTAAGTAGCTTTACAATGTTGACTTAGCTAGCATTGAGCATTGAGCAATGGACATGGCAGATGGGATAGGACTTACCTTGCCATCCATATACTCCAGCCACTGCAGACCCAGGTTGGTGACAATTCTAGGGGTGCCATCATCTACCGGGAGGATGTCCACATGGAACTGCTGAGGTGCTGCGGTCATAATCTGTAGGGGAAGCCAGGCAAAAATTCATTATCGACACTGGGTTTCCCAAACATTGTACCTGAAATGCCGGAATCCCTGAACATGTCAGAGATGAAACAGTTTGCGAAGCTAGCTTTCACCTCCTATCACAACCGGTATGAGGCCTCAGGGAGAGTGATGATTGACAGTGTGAATCCAACATGAATGCAGAAACAAAAAGCATTGGTGTCTCTGCTCAACCTCAAAGGTCTATGCTGTAGAAGCTGGTTTTCCTGTGTGTGTGTGTGTGTGTGTGTGTGTGTGTGTGTGTGTGTGTTAATATGGGGTCATTCAGCATTGCTTAGGCTGGCCTTGAACTTCTGAGCTCAAGTAATCCCCCTTCCTCAAGCTCCTGATTAGCTGGGACTACAGGTATGTGCCATCATGGCTGGGTACATTTATGTCTTCTTCAGGGGATGGCAGGATGCTGGATTTGGAATAAATAATAACTATTGCATGTTTATTCTTATATATGGTTCTATATTTTAATGTGTACAAATGACATGGAAGTAGAAAGGGACCATGAGAGGAGAGGAGTAGGTCTAAAAGGAGTAGGGAACAAGGGGAGGATAATGGAATATATCCAGTCACATGAAAGCAGAAGGTGGAAGTTTTGGGTACAAAGAAAAGGACCACCAAGTAGGGAGAAGCCAGGTAGGACACTGGGTCATATAAAAAAGGACAAAGGAGAATGTACACATATATGAAAATGCTGTAGAAACTCATTACTTTGTACACTGAGTTAAAATATTAATGAAGAAAAGGAAAAAACCTTGCCTCAGATGAAACAGTACACAGATACTTTTTTCTCTTAATATCTTGTGTTAAAGCTTTCATGAGAGACTGGTAAACAGCATCATTAAAATGTTGATGCTGAAGGCTTCAGGTAGGGTCAGCTCAGCCAGGGAGGGATGCTTACAAGCCCAGAGAGCCTTTCCTTTCCTTTTTTCCCCCTGTTTTTGTTCTTGTTTGGTTTAAGGACATTGCTCCCTCTGTGGGTAAGAGGCAGAAGAAATGAAGAATAAAAGCATTTATGGGAATGAATGGTGAAAGGGAATTTACATTGCAATTCCATTCACCGAGAGAGACCTGTCTATATACTGTACACGAGTCTTATCCATGATCACCGTCTCTAAGTGGTTACCAGCTTCAGCACAGGACAGTGAGAGGCTAGTTTTCAGTCTACAAGTTACACAAGTACAATTTTTAAGATGACATGGTCCCTCCAAAGGCTTGCTCTGATGATTAGGTTTTTAAGAGGATAGCCATTGCTGATACATCTTCATTTATTTTTCTCCTTTGAAAGTCAGGCTAACCAGGAGCAAAGGACAAAGTGATAGCCTGCCAGGCAATGCCATGGAATAGACAGAATAGATGCAGACAAGGCAAAGGAATCCCAAGAGTCACCTACGTATGTGATGACCCACCTAGGATAAACTTCTGTGTCTCTAAAGGACACAAAGTGGTCTCCCTTCCAAGAATATAATCATCCACCAACAGAGTAGACAGAAACTCATCAGGACTGAGAAAGACTCTTCTGCTTTCCTAGGCATACAGCAGGTTGTGAGCACACTGTTTGCCAACACTGCTTCTGGAGCCAGACATAGTTGTGCGGGGTGTTGGAGTGTTACCCAACCCACCTTCCACCAGAGATGCAGTTACTCCAGGTGGAGTTTATGGAATAGTGGAGTTCTTTTAAGGGACAAAGAACTGAGCAAATGGTGCAGAAGGCAATAGATAAGGTCTTAGTGTGTGTGTGTGTGTGTGTGTGTGTGTGTGTGTGTGTGTGTGTGTGTGTGTGTGTGTGTGTACATGCACATGTAGAGCCCAAAAGTCAACCTCAGGTGTTGTTGCTCAGTAACTAAGCACCTTGTGTTTTTGAGGCAGGGGCTCCCTGGAACCTGGGGATTGCTAATTAGAATAGATTGGCTCCAGGGATGAGCCTGTCTGTGTCTACCTCCCCAGTGCTGGGATTAGAGACACATACCACTATGCCCAGTGTTTTACACAGGTTCTGGAGACTGAAGGCAGATTCTCACAACCACATAGAGACCACTTTCAAACTGAGCCATCTCTGCAGCTCAAAAAAGCTGGGAAGACACCCAACCTCAGCAACAGGGCATCTTATAGACTACAGAGGCTGATTCTAAAATGATGACGATGAAGACTAATGCAGCTACAGATTCTCTGATGTTTCTGTGGGCCTGCCACGGGGCAGAGGACATGAGGAGCAGAAGTGGTACCTCCATTGTGCAGACTGGGAAGCTGAGGCTTTCAAAAGGAACATGACTTACAAAGACATTCGGCTAAAAAGAGGCAGAGCCAGGATTCAAGATTTGTGTGTCTCCTGTACACAAAGCCACTCTAAATCCCCAAAGAGTGAGTGACTTTCTTATTCCAAAAAGAGAAAGAGGGTATAGAGCTTTGTGGTACTATAGGAATACCAGATTGAAGAAAAAATAGAGAGTGACATTAATAATCACCATGTCATACTAGGGGTTCACTAATTACCAGCAGTGTCAAACACTCTACCAGGGTTGTCCCCAGTGTCAAACACTCTACCAGGGTTGTCCCTTTGGGTACTTAGATTAAGCATCAGAAGGTGCCATCATGATTGTGCCCGTTTTATAGATGAAAATCTAAGGTTTAAGGGATTGCTGGGCCAGGTTCAATCCACTTAACTTTAATGGAGTAAGATTGTTGCACTACATGCAACAATCCCCATGTGACCTCTGAGAGACTCTGCTGGGCCTCTTCCTCCCCCACCGACCCTCACCTCTTTTCCTCCTTCCTCTATCATAAAGAAGGGGTTGGTCCCATCAGAAACGGTGAAGGTAAATCGGTCTTTGAGGGAGTTGCTGCCATCATGGCTATAGCTGACCCGGTTCTGGTAGATGTCTTCCATAGTGAAGGAGGAGGTGAGGTGGAAATGCTGCCCCCTGGCTGCTCTCTCAATGGCGCCATGGCGTGGGGGCTGCACAATGGTGAAGGTGATAGACTCAGCCTGACCAAAGGAGAAAAAAACAAGAGGCAAGTTCATAGAGGGAATGGTGTCCAGGAGCTGGTGTAACAGTCCAAAGCCATCAAATACAGCCTGCATTTTCTTTATAGATACAATGAAACTAGTGAGAGAAACCACCTTCTTAACTACACCTGAATTTACATCTTAGAGCCTTCCTCAGAATGCTGAGCGTTGACATTTGATATTCTCAGGCCTATGGCACAGGGTGACTAGAGGCAGGGCTTAGGCTGCCAATTCTCTTTGTCCCTTGGTCACTAGATTCCAGCACTGGAGCCGGTGCTTCTGCAAGGTCCTGCCTGGAGAATGAATTCTCCCAGATAACTGCATAGCTTGCTCTTACACTGATGTCTTGGTTCAGAGAGTAGATCCTTAAAGATCTTCCCTGATGACTCCCAAAATAGCATACCCACCAATCTTGAGCTCACTTAATGCTGACCATGTCTGATTGGTTTCTCCCTCCCTCCCTCCCTCCCTCCCTCCCTCCCCCTCCTTCCTCCCTTTTTTCCTTCTTCTCTCCCTCCCCTCCCCTCTCCTTCCCTTCCCTTTTCCCCTCTCCTTCTTTCTTACTCCAATCCAAAATGTTGTAAATTTCTAGCACATTTTCTGTTGTCTTCACAGCTATGCCTTTAGCATCCTGAGAGGGTCTACAACCCAGTAGGCAATGAACATTCAATGAAAGCATGGCTACGTAGTGAAGCCCAGGCACAGAGACGGGGGCACACAGACTGTAAGTACAGTGGCGAGCTTTCGAGCCCAGTGAAGTCCACATGCTAAATGCTTGACCAGGGCAACATCTTAACAGGAGAGCTGGGCCCCAATATGTAGTGTTTTTGTTTTTGTTTTTTTGTTTTTTTTTTTTTTTTGGACAAAGACTCTTCTTAGAGTTTGCTCAAATTGTGATGACGAGTAACTATGAAAAAAAGGTCTAGGTACAAGAGGTAAAAATGGAAGAGAGATGGATAGGGGTACAAAATGCCTATCCACTTAAAGACAATGTATGCTTTGGGTGAAGCGTCACCTCCCTTATTCTCTAGGAATCATAACAGAATATGCATGTAGATGGTTGTTATGTGCAAGCTGAGGTGAGAATGAACGTATTGAGGAGTTCAGGATGAGTTGAAAAGCAATTTGATCTCCAATTTGATTTTTCCCCGAAGGCTAAGGTGTCTTTTGCTTTAACCTCTTTTGGGGGGCGGGGCTTACACTCTCCTCACCACTGGGCACAACTCTCAGGATGTTCCACAGAGAGCACCTGCCCTAACTCTACTTCTACTCATCCTGAGAGAGAAGGGAACCACTTACCTCCGTGTCCAAATCCACTGCCTTCAGCTCAAACTCTGTGATGGTCTTCCTCACGCCCTCCTGCACACGCATGCCCTGGTTCTGCACAAGGGGCAGTGAGTCATCCACAGGGTGAATAGTGATGTGGAAGGTCTGTGTCACCTACAACAGTAACAGATGGGTGGGTCTCCTGTCCCCAGTGCCACCCTATCCTCAGCCCTCAGCAAGGCTGACTCTGAGGAACCCTGACATGAATTCTCCTGGGCTCAAGCCCATGGCTGTTAGAGGCTGGGCCTGTGCTGTGGCTAAGTACAGAGGGACCATGATGATCTTGATCTCCTGTCTGTCTGTTCATTCCATTCAATGAAGAAAACTAGGGATTGATACCCACTCAAGGACGGATGACAGGGCTTCTTACCTCATGCACGCCATCAGACAACAAAAAGCTGAAGGCGTCGGAGTACTTCCTAGTCTCACTGGAATGGACATACTGAACATTTCCTGAAGTCAGGTCAGCTTGAGTAAAGGAACTAATCTGGACCCCTAATGAGAGGAGAAGAGAGAAACAGGAGGAAGATCAAGAGACTAGCCATTCCTCTGCACAGGGAGATGCCAGACTCTCCTGCAGGGTCTTCTGTATTTAACACAGAGCATTCGTGCTCTGTCCTTGAAGACCTGTGTAGTTTGTAGACTATTTTTCTATAACAACATATGTTCTTTGGTAGTGTATGTTAACTTGATTATCCAGACTTTTGTTTGCCTTGGCAACAGGAGTTATTCAATAAATGCTCCTTTCCTTTCCTATACACAGCTAAAATCTCTGAAAGGTATTAGGAGTCATTGCCCTAGTGTCCAAATTCTACCCTCTAAAGTTTTACATTCCCTCATTACTTCACAATCCTTTCTGAAACTCTGCTCTAATTGTTAATGTTGTGTGATAAGTTACCTTTTGACCATTGCAGTTATGAGGCTCAAATACACAGTATGTCTGTGGGATTGGTGAACCATCCCAGTATCTTTCCTGGTCTCTTTCAACTTTCAGGTTTGTGGTCCTAGCTTCTCATGCTATTTTAGCCATGCTATTTTAGTAATGAGATTTACTGCATGACTTTGGGGTTTGAACAATCATCCTATATCAACTGAACATGACCTAAAAAAAAACAGTATTCTTTAATAATATGACATAGAAAAAGAAATCACCACCTAAAAATTAAAGCAACTTTAAATAATGACACTATTCTTCAAGCACACATTAACTCTGTTTTTAAATCCCCCAAATTTAGCAAAAATTTAGCCCTGTTTGTATCTTAGAGCTCAGGGATTTATACTCAAGCATCAATCAAGACTAGAACATACTGAGCTGAAATAGCACTTTGGAGGACGTAGCTGGAAGGTCATCAGTATGGTGAGTTTCAGGCCAGCCTTGACTATACCAGAGGGAAAAAAGGGTTGAAATATAAAAGGTGCAGCTCAGTGGCAGAGTACTTACCTAGCATGCATAAGGCCCTGTGTTTGAGCCCCTGAACCATAAGAAAAATAAAATGAGAGTCGGAGTACAGTCCTGCCTTTCTGTGTTGGGGCAGTGAGCTAGCTAATTTAGACTTTTATTCTGGCCTCGACATTCTTTGGTTGATTCCTAGGAATTATTACTTTTCACTCTTAATCCTGGTAAAAACCAGTTTTATTTTACAATAAATTCTGCTTTGACTGCTATCTATTTAAGTGTGATGTCAGTATCCCAGGCTTTGTCTTTCAGAGAGACAGAAAAAAAAAAAAAAAAAAAAAAAACCCACAGGGCCCCCATTTTCTCCATTTGTGTCTTTATCATCTGAAATTTGTCACCCAGATGCAAGATCCTTCTGACTACTGGGGCATTAATTTTCTGATGAGGCATTTTATATTTCTGCACTTGCTACATCAGTTCTTGACAGGGAAGAAATGCAGCCCCTGGTTTTGCAGCTTTGTCTTATGGCTGGACAGAATTCCACACCATTCTTTAAAAATTTAATAACTTCAGGGGTTGGAGAGATGGCTCAGTAGCTTATCACACTGGGTGTATAAGTATGAAGATCTGAGTTTGGACGCCCATCACTCATGTCTGAGTGCATTATGGTGGAACATATCTATACCATAGGTATAGATATGTGCCACTGACCAGTTAGCCTAGCTGAATCAATGAGCTCAAGGTTCAGTGACAGACCCTGCCTCAAAAAGTAAGGTGGAGAGTGATCAAGGAAGGCACTTGAGCTCTGGCCTCTGCACACCTGTGCAAGAAAGAGTACCTGCATGTATGTGTATACACAAGAACAGGCATAAGCATAGACACATTTTTTAATAAGGAGTTTTACTCAAAAGGGTAGCTTTGAAAATCTCTATCTTGTGAAAACTGGGAAAGCCAGGGAGCCACCTCAGCCTGAACCCATTTCATGAAGCTGTGGTGGCTGTGCCTGTAACAGTCCACTGCCATCAATGGAAGCCAGTGCCCCGTGGCCATCACTGTGGTGTCTGTGTCTGTGACAGTCCACTGCTATCACTGTTTTAAAACTTCAGATGGACTACACTGAGGAATTTAAGTCTCTTCTCTCTGTTGTGGACCTATTTTCACAGTCCATGGGAAAATAAACGTACAGACCCCCAGGCAACTGGCTACCCAACTGCCTGATCCCTTTATGAACAGACAAATGATAGCTGATTAAGATTATGGCTAATTCTTCCTGGGAATTGGGCTGTGGGTTTTGTGATTGCACCATTTTCCCTTTTAAAATGGTTTTATTGAGTTAACTTATGGGTAACGTTAACATCTTATTGTTGGAACTGACGCACAAGGAATTGCATATAATTGAAGTTTTCAATGAGAAAACTTCAAAGTAGTGAGCATACCCATCACTGTAAAATGATTCACACTGACATTCTATATCCTTCCATCTCTACTCCACCCTCATCTCAAAGGACCATGAATTGCTCCTGTTACTACACGTTAGCTGGTGTTCTCTCCTCTTACATACGTGTAGTGCGTACTCTTTTATACCTGGTTTCTTTCATTTAGCCTAGCTATTTTGAAGTTTACCATGCATTGATAGTTTAGTTCTGGGCTGTGAATATGGCACTGCTCGTAAAGTACCTATTGTAGAAGCATAAGGAACTGAGTTTGTGTCTTTACAACGTAAAATCTAGGTACAGTGACACACATCAAAAACCCCAGAACTGGGGGCTGGAGAGAATGCTCAGTGGTTAAGAACACTAGCTGGTCTTCCAGAGGTCCTGAGTTCAATTCCCAGCAACCACATGATGGCTTGCAACAACCATCGGTAATGAGATCTGGTGCCCTCTTATGGCCTGCAGGAATACATGCAGACAGAACACTATATGTAATAAGTAAGTAAATCTTTAAAAAGAAAAAGAACCCCAGAACCAAATGGTTGGGGACTGCAGTCAGGTAGATTCCAGTCTAGCTGAACTGAGGACCTTTGGTTTAGTAAGAGACCTGATCTCAATAATAAGGTGGAAAATTATTTAGGAAGATGCTTGATGTCAACTTCTAGCCTCACTCACATATGCCCATACCCACACAAGCATGTACCAATGGTACCCCCTCAAAATATTCATTCTTCTTATTCCACCAAGTGAGTATGTCATGATTTGTTTATGTATGCACGCATTGATGGGTGTTTGGGTTACTCTTAGTTTGGGGCTATTACAGATAAGGCTACTGTGAATATTGTGTTCTTGACTGTGTTTGGATATCAGTTTTCATTCTGCTTAGATAATCTCTAGCAGTAGAACATTCTGGAATATATTCTAGGTATGTATGTATTTAGGAAACCACCACAAACACGCCTTTCCAAAGCAGCAGAGCTTCTCTCCACTCTTCCAAGCAGAGTTGGAGAGTCTGGTCTTGGCCTGAGTTTCCCAGTTGCACCTAGGAAATGTCAAGTATCTTCTTTGGGCAGAAAAACCACTTCCAGCTTACTTAGTGATGTGGGATTTTACCTGGGAACAGCTCTGAGAAGTCAGGGTAGGCACAGTACCTTTATTTAAATAAATTATGATGTGGTGATAGAATTCTTATGTAATTAAGAAGCTATGTCATCTCTCCAAGGTCATATGGCTAGAAGAGGGAGGGCAATGCTGGGGCTGGAACCCAAGAGAGTTCAGTTCTTAAAGCTGAGGACTCTCAGTTCTTACTATAAGAGTCACCTGGACATCTTGAATTTCACCCCTTATTCATAAAATTTTGAGAATAAAAGTAGTATGTGCCTACTAAAGAATACACACACACACACACACACACACACACACACACACACACACACACACACACACACAAAACACAAAAAAACACAAGTAGGAATCACACATGTCATTCATATGTCTATCACTATGAAGGAACCGGTTTCCCTTTTGGCAGCCATAACAGCCGAACACGTGCT